TTATTTTTGTTGTTGTATGTCTATTAAGGTACAGTTTCGTTCTCAAATGATTGAGCCTGATTTTAGATTCAAGGCATTAACTTTCAACTGTTGGCAATAATGATAGTGACCTAGGTCGGGCCTTTACCTTTGCTCCACATGGAAGCAATTAGCAATAAAATATTCGTAAAAGTGTTTAATGTATTTTATAGTTCTTTATCTTTTGTTATGCTTTCTCACTGGTAGATGTCCAGTGTTCGAATTTTGTTTTATTTCTCGTGTTATGTTTTTTTTTAAATGTCTGCTCTATTTTAATTTTGATCCCATTTATTGGCAATACTTGTAATGCGTTTTATTTGATTAAAAAAGTGTATTATAAAACGAATGTTTCATTCCCCACTGTTTCGATCGATTACTAAAATGTGTCAATTAATCAATAAAATACAAGGCAAAAAACAAAACAACAAAATTAGTACAATTAAAAAAGAAAATGGTGAACTAGTGAGTAATGATGTAGATATAGCAAATGAATTTTGTGAATATTTCTCAAAAATCGGGAAAAGGTTGTCAGAAAACATAAAAAACGCGGAGAAATTAAATTATAGTAAGACCAGATTATACAGGGTGTTTCAGTTTATTGTTGCATAACTTTAAGATTCGATAGAACTTTTAAAATTAATGCATAAAGTCTATATAAACATGGGTCGAAAAATGCGTGGCTTCCGAAATACAGGGTGTTTAAATTTACTTTCTAAAATAGTTTTTCTTAAATATTTCGAACAATATTTGATATATAATAGTGAAAATTGGTATACAAGGGTTTTTTGGTACGACAAAACGAACCATGGGCATAGTTTTACTGTAGCCGCTAGAGGGCGCTCTCTGCTGTACCTGTAGTGTATTAAAATGACCGAAAATTTTTTCTTAGTGCAATTTTTTGCTTTTTGAATAAAAAAAAACTGATTCTTTGCACTTTTCAACATAAAAAAGCTCTCTTGTGAATGTACGTTATAGTTAGCCGTTTTTGAGATATTTCGATTTTTAAGGTTCGATGCATTTTTAATTATTTATGATAAAATAACGTTAAAAAGTCCATATCTCGATAATTTTTAGAAGTAGGCTGTGCCTGCAAATATTTTTGAAATTGAAAGCAGAATAAGGTTAAACGTCAATTAGTTGACAGTTAGTTTTGTTGTCTGTTGAAACCTGAAACGTTTTTTTGCAATTGTGAATGCACGAAATTTAGTTTCTTTTACCTGTTTTTTTTTTGTAAGTTTTATAAAAAAAATTATCGGTCATTTTAATACACTACAGGTACAGTAGAGAGCGCCCTCTAGCGGCAGTAAAACTATGGCTCGTTTTGTCGTACCAAAAAACCCTTGTATACCAATTGTCACTGTTATACATCAAACATTCTTCGAAATATTTAAAAAAAAACTATTTTAGAAAGTAAATTTAAACACCCTGCATTTCGGAAGCCACGAATTTTTCGACCCATGTTTATATAGACTTATCGAATCTTAAAGTTATGCAACAATAAACTGAAACACCCTGTATAACTCATTATATCTGGAACCGATCGATACGCATGAAATAAAGACAATAATCAATGAATTGAAATTAAGAAAATCTCCAGGTCTAGATAATATAACAGCATATACTCTCAAGAGTATACATTCCAACATCTGCGGCATACTGTCATATTTGATAAATTCTTGTATGAATAAACTAATATTCCCTACATGTTTAAAACACGCTAAGGTAAAACCATTATTTAAATCCGGAGAAAGAGAAAAACCCATCAACTATCGACCAATTTCCATCTTAACCAATTTTTCTAAAATATTTGAAAAAGTGTTAAAAAAACGATTCACCGAATTTGCAAAAAATATAACTTCAAGAAGGCAAATCTGCTCAAGATGCTATTGTAAAATTAACAAGTAAAATATACACGAATCTCGATATTGGCAAACCAACTGCATGTGTTTTTGTTGACTTGGCAAAGGCATTCAAGTCTATTACTCATGAATCGCTTTTAACAACTTTAGAAAACTTAGGTTTCCGGGGAATACCATACAAACTTATATAGTCAACGCCAAACAAAGTGGCGTGCACGTCATCAAGGTGGGTGTGTTGAAAAATTTACATTGTTGCCAAACTTTTAGTAAAATAATAAAATTTATTATTTACATATCTAGGTTTATAAGCAATATTAACCTCAAATGAGAACAAAAATAATAGTATAATAAAATTATAGATCTGTACTTGCATAATCATTAAGTATGACAATTATTGATCAGATGACACTATGAAACTACCATATTTAATTGATAGCTTAAAGGTACTGAATAAAAATCCAAATGGGGTCCTCCAAATTTTATGCATGGTATTTATTTTACAGAATTCATACAGAAAAATGCATTCTAAAATTAGGTAAGCTACTGGTGTAAGCTTTTTCTGTACAATAAAGTTAGTCGGAGTTTCTTTCTTCAGCGCTGTCTGAATCTGAATCTTCATCACTCTCAAAGTTGATTATTAAAGGTTCGATGTCTGGTCGATCAAAAATTCGTTCTCTTTCATACCATTTAAAAATTTCTTGCTCAGTATGTCGAACACTATTTTTCCACATGTCTGGGGTAACCGTTTGTAGAGCCTCGTTCCACATATCCAAACAGTCTTTTTCACTGTTACCATCTCTACCAATATGTCTGTTATAGTAACCTTTTGCTATGCCCCAAATTAACTCAATAGGGTTAAATATACAATGGTAAGGAGGCAGACGAAGAACTTTGTGCCCATGTTGTTCCGCCAATTCATCAATCACGTATATTTTAGGTGGTTTGTTTCTAAAAAAGCAGTTATTTTAAGAATAGGAATAAACAAAAGAAATATAAACTGTCGACCAAAATATATATAATTAAGAAGCATTATGTACCGAGCAACAATACTCAATAGCTCTGTTTTAGACATTGTGTTTAAAAATGGTATGTTTTGATTTGTCAACCAGTCTTGGATATTTTTTTTTGTCCATGCATTGTTGGGCACTTTGTGCAATATCATGCTGTGATAAGGGGCGTTATCCAGTATAATCATAGATGGACTCTCCAATTTTTCTAATAACTGATGTTGAAACCATTTCAAAAAATTGTCCTGGTTCATCTCTCCATGGTAATCGCTCAATTTTGTTTTCGAAGAAAATATCGCTTCACTACCCTCAATAAACCCATTTTCATTTCCAGCATGTAATATAATGTATCTAAAATATATTAGTTTTAAATTTTATAGTGCAAATTGTGTAAAAGTACATACCTTTTACCATCTGTTTTAATAGCTTTCACGCTTTTTTGGTTTCCATTTTGCCAAGAGCGACCTATGGTCCCATTTTGAAATATCCAAGTTTCATCGAGGAAGACAAACTGGTATAAGGCCTCAACCTTGGCTTGATTGTATTGCCTTAGAAATTCCACCCTTTTCAAAGCTATACTTGGTAGTTCCATGAGCCCTCGTCGCGGATTGTCCTTAAGCCACTTAAATCCAAGATCTCTAAGCAACCGCCTTAAAGACGTGGCACTACCATCAAATAATGCCCTATCTCTTAATCGAGACCATAAAGTTTGTATCGTAACTTGTTCTTCTGAAACCATGTGTAATATGACATTATAATTTAGTTAACAAATTAATGCAAATTTCTGATAAGTTATTATAATAAGATCTTACTTTTGTGATACATATTATAGATCACTTCTCGAATGGTACTTGTATCCAATGTCGCTGTGTTGGTTACACGTTTAATATAACTCCGCTTTTTCTTGGGCGATTCTAAATTTGCATCACTTTTCACACCCTCGGAAATACGACTAACTGTCCTTAAACTAATTTTTAAAGCAGCAGCAACACGCTACAAAAAATGAAATAAAATTTCACTATTATTAATATACATTACATATAATTATTAGTAACCTACCTCTTGAACAGCATTTAAAGGCAACAAAGGCCCGTTGTTGTTCCTTTCTTGCTCAAAGTAGTGCATTAACGAGGCCACGAGTTCCTTACACCGACTATTTAACTGTTTGGGCATCTTTATATACCAAAATTGCCTTTATCTACTCGTAAAATGAATAATTTTGTTTTGAAACAAACAGTTGTTGATTTACAGTATGCGGGGCCAAAGGATTTATAAAGATTTGAAATGCCACAAATTGATTCAGTGTCAAAATTAATACAAATGTCAGTTCCCAGTTTAAATAAGTTTCAAGGTGACAATGTGTCAACGCTGCGAAATCGGTTTAGTGCGTTTACATGTCGATAAGTGATTGGAGCGTTTGCAAAACATTTTATTTCGCATAATGCGTCTAAATTTATCAGAAAGCAACTTATGTGATATTTTAATAACAATGTTTATATGACTTATAATAAGAGAGTAATGACCATTTTACAATTTATATATCACATTAATATGAAACTGCAATAGAGCAATTGTTTGTGATAGAAACCTAGGCATTAGGTCGGGGAATTTTTATCGTGATGACGTGCACGCCACTTTGTTTGGCGTTGACTATAGAAAATTATTTGTCAAATCGAACACAGTGCGTCAACATTAATAACACATTCAGTGAACCCCATATTATATCATACGGTGTACCTCAAGGTTCCGAATTAGGACCCATTTTATTCAATCTATTTATCAACGATTTGTTCAAAATAAGTAGTATAGGTTTTGCGGATGATACAGCTGTTCTCTATGAAAGCCACCAGTGGCATACACTAAAATCCAGTTATAATTTTCTGGATATTTTTCTTGACATTACCATAATTATTCACCAAATTATACAGTATTAACGGTTTTTTTTTCATACATTGACTGTACTATTAGTTTTTATTTTTAACAAACCCAAACACAAGTGCAAACTTTTTTTGGGTGCTTTATGTTTATTGTGCCCAATATTTGATATTTACCGGTATTTTGTGACAATAAACATTATTATTATTATTATATGGAATAAAATTCCACTCTAATGGAGATGTTTTATAGGTCAAGCGACACAGTATCGAAAAAAGATAATAGCGGAGTACAAAAACCAGATGCAACAAGTATAGACAAGAACGAAAAGTCTAAAGTTGGAAATGAAGGCGTTTGTACGTTTTGCGAGAAGAAATTGAACTCCAAAGAATCTTTGCTGCATCACTATGGATTATCGCACCGCTCACTCATCATCAACGAATCCAAAGCGTTAAAATGCAGAAATTGTGACGATTTATTGAGTACAGTCGGTTTGAAAGATCATATGGTCAACGTTCATAAACTCAAAGGTGCCTTTTGCGGGATTTGCAACAAGCATTTTTCGAAGGTATCCGAAAATGTAGACCATGTTAAGACGTCGCATATTATGGTGATCAAAACCCTATCCTGCACGATTTGCAAGCTGTCGTCTGATAATCAAGAGAACCTGATATCACATTACTATGACAAGCATTTACAGAAAACAACTCCAAAAGAAACGCCAAAGAAAAAGAAAGTTGGTCCCGAAACTCAAATTACAAGTGGAAGACTAGATCAAGGCCTATGCGGCCTTTGCAAGGAAACATTCGAATCTAAAAAGTCTCTACTACAACACTATAGCATAGCTCATCATTCGATCATAAAAGAATCTAAGACCTTGAAATGTAATAAGTGTAATCATTTTATCACCACAACTTTGCGGCAACATATAGGGAATGCTCATAGACTCCAAGGAAACTTCTGCTCCATCTGCCACAAGCGCTTCACCGCGGTATCTCAAATTATCGACCATGTCAGGTCGGCTCATATCACGGCGATCACAAAACAGTTATGCTCCGTTTGCGGCTTGGACGGCGATCAAGAAAGTCTGATATTACACTACCTGGACAAGCATTCAACAACAACAACCACAGGAGAACTGGTAAAGGTTAGCCAAACAACCGTTAAGGATGAACTTTGCCATCTCTGCGAAACCAAGTCCGGTTCTAAGTCTTTGCTAGAACATTATCTTGATCTACATGGTGCATACATCACGGAGATTAAAGTCTGGAAGTGTGGCAAGTGTCAGATTTTCTTCAACACCCAGGAAGATAAGCAGAAACATCTAGATGAAAAACACACTATCACTGGCAATTACTGTCCGATTTGCTATAAAGATGTTTCTAGCAGAAGTCAAGTTGTAGACCATCTGGAATCCTCACATATTACGGCCTTCTCAAAGCTGCTATGCATTATCTGTAAAATGGAGTGCAACAGTCAGGAAGAACTAATGCTGCATTATCAGGAGAAACATTGCAACACTGGCTCAAACGATACAGGTATAGAGATAAGTAAGGTTTGGAGGTGTAGAGTATGTGTTACTTTCAGTGATACGGAAAATGATATGGAGAAGCATCTACAAATGAAGCATAAAGTTCAAGGAAGTTTCTGCCCAGTTTGTTTCAAAGGCTTCATGACAAGATCTGAAGTTATTGTGCATCTTAAGACTTCGCATATTGAAGTCATCGAAACACCTTCTTGTTCTATTTGTTCGTCGGAGTTTGTTAATCTTGACCATCTGTTGCGTCACTTTAAGGATACACATGCTAGCGGATCTACAACTGAAGTAGCTAGCGGGTCAAATTCAAGCGTAAAAAGCGATATAATGACTTGGCGATGCAGGAAATGTATTATCTTCGCTGACACTGAAGAAGATATGCAGAAACATTTGGACGAGAAACACAAAATAGAAGAGAATCTGTGTCCCATTTGCTACAAGAGTCTAAAGACGCAGCTCGAAGTTACTAATCATCTGAAGTCGACTCATGTTGAAGTCCTGGAAAAACCAACATGTCACGTCTGTAAGCTGGAGTTCACTAATCTTAATCATTTGAGGTTACATTATGATGACAAACACAAAAATAAACCAACGAACGAACGAACTGAAAAGGCGAAATCGCGGGAAGATGAGACAAACTCACAGATCTCTTGCGTTATTTGTGAGGCCAAATTTGAGACAAAAATAGAAATGGGGATGCACTGCCGGTGCTACCATCCTGAGTTGTTTGGTGTAGTCAAAATTTGGAAGTGCATGCAATGCGATTCTGGTTATGTCCATTCTGAGGAAGGTATGCGAAAACACCTAGAAGCAAGACATGAAGTGAGACAAGGCAAGTGTTCATGCTGCTCCGTATCGTGTGCGACTTATCCTGAAGCCCTAGATCATTGGATGTCTCATGTTCAAGTCACTATGAAACCAACTTGTTCTAGTTGTAACACGCCGTGTGCGAACGACATGCGCGTCGTGTACCACTATTATGAAAAGCACATATTGCAAAATGAGATAAAGGAAAAACCTGCCAAAGGGTCTAAAGTTGACGCAATGCAAAAGGAAGCTTCGGCTAATAAAAGATTCGAATGCCACGCGTGCTTGGAGAAATTCCAACAAGACCTTGACCTTGCGCTTCATCTGGGAGCTGCTCATGGTGTGGAAATCGTAGATCCAGATTTGCAGAAACAAAAAGTCTTCGGATGCCCTGTCTGTATCGCGAACTTCAAGACGATGGAACTGGCGACTAAGCATGTCAATCAGAGACATTTTGGCACGCAGCAACCGGTCGTGGAGCAGTACATTTGCAGGTATGTGGTAGTTTGTTTACTTCAAAGTCAAACTATAAACGAGAAATAAAAATGCGTCAATATTGACTGTTTGCATATAGAAACATAGCAGGCCGCGCGGATCGAACGTCAGTACTGAATCTTAACCTCACTCTGTAGTAACACAGAGATGTGACATATCGCGAGATTGAGGCGTCAATAAAGATCTCAAAAACCTCAATTAAAAAATTTTTACATGAAGAATTAGGAGTAAGAAAATTAGTTTCTCGTTGGATACCCGACCTGTTGACTGAAGAGCAGAAATCAGCCAGGGTTAATTGGTGTCAAAAAACGCTTGACGGTTTCAATTCCGGAAACTCAAAAAATGTGTACAGCATTGTTAGTGGTGATGAATCGTGGATTTACTGTTACGATTTTGACAAAATTCGGCTTCTATCGTCTATATCCGGAAATACCCGGAATTGGGAATCTTTTGTTTTCCTTAGTTACCTACCCTCATTTAACTGACTTCGTATTCGTTACCGTTTCCGATATCTCAATGGTGAAAGTCGAATTTCAAACACTCGGTATCTATATTTCGATATATATATACTAAGTGACATATAAATCCGAACACCCAGTTTAAATGGTTTTATTTTAATAAAATTTTGTATAAGTACTTAATGAAGCATAATAAGTAAATGATAAAAATTTCAAAATGATTGCACTGCTTTAAAGCCCTTTGGCCTTTAATAATGTGTGGAGCACCCTGATGTGCTATGCATTCTCCAACGCGCCTAGGCATGCTTCTGATCAGGTGGTCAATGTCCTCCTGTGGTATCTCATTCCAGGCAACCACCAACTCCTCTCGAAGTGCTTCTAGAGTCTGAGGAGGACGTTGCAAATTGAGCAATCTCCTACCCATCATATCCCACACGTGCTCAATTGGGGATAAGTCGGGAGATCTTGGTGGCCATGGTAACAATCTGACATCATTATGTTGAAAGAAGTCTATTGTGACTCTTGCAACATGTGGTCGGGCATTATATTGTTGGAAAGTTGGATCAAGATAGGGTAAAAGATGGGGGTTCTAGAACGTCGTGGATATAACGCTGCGCGTTCATGTTACCTCTGATGAAGATTAAAGGTGACCTGGAACCATAAGCTATAGCACCCCAAACCATAACTCCAACAGTGTGATGAACATGTCTTTCAACAAAAAACTGTGGATTCCTCCTTTCACCACGTCGCCTTCTAACCCTGGCACGACCATCGTGCATGCCTAAACAAAATCGAGACTTGTCACTAAAGACAATACTGTTCCATTCCTGATCCCAGAGTGACCGTTGTCTGCACCACTCAAGGCGATTACGTCGGTGTTCTCGAGTTAAAGGGAGGACCCAGTGTGGCCGGTATGAAAACAAGCCAAAACTTCTCATTCGTCGGTAAACACTTCGCATGCCAATAGGTATTCCGTGTTCTGCAAACCATTCATTTGCAATGGACCTGGTAGTGGAGAAACGGTCCCTTAAGGCCAATAATCTTAGGCGGCGATCTTCACGGTCTGTTGTTCTACGGCGGCGTCCAGTGCCCCTTGCTCTTTGCGTACAACCTTCTCGAAGCTATGCCTGACAACACCAAACCACAGCGTCTACGCTTCTTTGCACTCTAACTGCAATTACCCGAAAAGAAAGTCCAGCTTCCCGAAGTCCCACTATACGGCCCCTATCAAACTCACTAAGTTGACGAAATCGTACAGGTCTCCGTACTCTAGGCATCGCACCGATCGTAAAGGATGTCAAGAACCAAAATCCGCCAACGTTGATTCTTTACTGCGGCTGAAATATTCATTTTTAGAGCGTTAGTGAATTAAAAAAAAGCAGTATAAAAACCGGAATGTCCAACTGATAAGGCTGAAAATTTTTTCACTTGTTATTTACAGTAAGATAAATAAATTCACCAACTTTTATTAAAATAAAACCATTTAAACTGGGTGTTCGGATTTATATGTCACTTAGTATACATTGGAAGTTATACCAGAAAAAATAATTTCTTCAACTTTTTTAATGAATATCGAGATGTTGGTTTGTCCTATCGCGAAATTGGCCGCCGTGTTAATTGCACTGCAATGACGGTAATGCGTGTGTGTCGTGTGTGGAAAGAAGAAGGTAGAGGAACACGAACTGGTCCACCGAGGCGCACCGCAGAGCGTCAGACAACTAGCCCTATCGTTTGGAGACGATTATCTCTATCGCCCCATTCGCGCCTTTGGACGTCCACGGTTAGTGCTTCCTCTGACTGCGGACCACTGTCGTCAACGTTTGAACTGGAGCATTGAACGGCAACATTGGGAGGCAGAATCGCATAATGTCATCTTCAGCGATGAATCGCGATTCTGTCTAGGTACGCACGATGCTCGTGGAGGCGTAAGCCGCCACCGTGGAGAACGGCGTCATATTGGATTTGCAGACGTTAATGTTTTGCCCCGTTAAATCCCATCGAACATATGCGGGATATGATGGGGAGGAGACTATCCACTTTGAATCATCCGTCACACTCTGCCACATCTAATCTCATTTTGTCGATGCCTAGATGTATACAGGAGCGAATTCAGCTGTGAGGTCGGCCAACACATTGATTTCTTTCGTATTACTTGTCAATGAAATCAAGTTGAAGGAATTATTTTTCTGGGCGTAACACTTCTGTCACTAAGTATATTTTATGCATGTTTTTCTTTGTTTCAGTCATTGCAAGTTAACCTTGAAAAAGCCAATGTTCATCAACCATTTGGTGAGATGCGCGATTTCACATGGACAGTTACGTTGCAGATACTGTCTGTTGGATATGCTTAGCGAACAGACGCTTCAAAATCATGTGACTAAAAAACATTCCGAAGAGACAGATCTGGGTTTAGATTGGGGTCCTCCAGCGCGACTGATCCCATGTCAGATATGCAAAAAGAAATTCGGATCCGAAGAAGGTCTATTGAGTCATTCAAAAACGAAACATCCTTTAAAAATACAAGCGACTGGTCCTCCAGTCCCTTTAGAGTCGACCCTAATGACTTTTGAAATAGGAAAATCGACTTATTATAAATGTCCGTACTGTAGCTATCGTAACATAATACAAGTACTGATTGAACATATTTATTCACTTCATAAAGATATGCTACATGAAATAACTGATCCGATATCATTTGGACTAGCTGACGATGCTCCTCAACCTTCAGATAGCCAAAACACTGGTAGGAAAAGGGTCAATGAACCTAGCGACAAAAAAATTAAAACAGGCACATCTTCAACTCCCAAGGAACCGCATGGCCTGATGCCTAGCGCAAGAGGCTTGACGGCTGATGATACCGTTAGACCTTTAGATAGTCAAAATACTGGTAGGAAGAGGCTTGGATACAATGAACCATATAACCTTTTACCTAGCGACAAAATAATTAAAACAGGCACATCTTCAACTCCCAAGGAACCGCATGGTCTGATGCCTAGCACAAGAGGCTTGATGGCTGATGGTACCGTTAGATCTTCAGATAGGAAAAGGCTTGGATCCAATGAACCATATAAGCTTTCCGAACCTAGCGACAAAAAAATTAAAACAGGCACATCTTCAAGTGGTCTAACAGCAAATATACCTAGCTCAAGAGGTCTGACGGCTGATGATTCTGTTAGACGTAGAAGGCAAGGTAACGAGGAAGGGGGCTCTTTTGAATCATCCCATTTCAGAAATGAGAAACGATTGGACCAAGAAAAACATCGTACGACCTATGGTTCTTATGAATCCAGAGGAGGCTTTAGAAATGAGAAAACAGTAGATCAAGAAGGTTCTCCGACTTACGATTCATATGAATCAGGATACGTAAGCGAAAAAAGAAGAGAACCAAGAAATCCTCCTGTAAGAAGCTCTAGAAACGAGACAAAGCTAGATCAAAGAAGTGAAGCTATGGCTTACAATCCTTACGAATCAAGGCACAGAGACTCTGGGGTCCAGGAAAGTATGGGCCAAGGAAAAGAACCTACATCCTGCGGTTCTTCTGATTCAAGACGCCAGCAAGTAACTAAGCCTACATATAGAAAAGAAGTAGAAGAAGAAATTCAACCGTCGGGTTCTAGGGGTGAGGAAATAATTGGATCCGGGGAGTTTACCGATATTGGCGGACCGACGAATAAAGTCAGTGATGATGATGGAGTATTGTTTACTAGGAGACAAACTTCGAAAGACAGAGGCCGTGAGTCTCCTTACAGCACCACTTCAGCGGGTTCCTGGCCATACGGCTCAAGAAGTCGACCTGTCGGGAGCTTAGATGGAAACCAAGGTTACATCAAAGACGATACGCGAAGTAGAATATATGGAGATACAGATCGAAAGCAAGGCTATGGTGATGTTAGCTCGAGGGTAGCTGATGATTTCAGGGGTAGATCTTTCGGAAGTCAATTTCGTAGTACTGGTAGATCGAGTAACGTACCAAGGATGTACGGTAGCTTTTATGGACTTGGAAGCAAGTCTTTTGGGAGTGTTAGTCTATATGAAGAATCGGGATATCCGTGCAGCTTTTGTGGAAACAGCTATCTCTCACGTGCAACTCTTGACATCCACGTGAAAGCAAACCATGGAGACATATAAATGTCCTTGATGACAACACAATGATTGTCCAGTGTTTTCTAAACCTCACTTGTAGGTACCACAGATTGGCAGCGTGAACTGTTGTTGTTTAGATGGGTTAAATGCTAAATATTTCATATATGGGGTTGTCCAAAACCGACGCAGGAAAGTAAACGCATATTAAAACAAGAAAGATTGATATTCAAATCAAGTTGGGTACTTTATTTTGAAGGTTCATTGATACTATTTATGTATGAAATATAATATCGCTCAAATGTTCACCACGACTGGATTTACAGACGTCCACGCGATGGTCGAAATTTTCAATGACATTTTGCAACATGGTCGGTTCTATGGCATTTATCTTGGCAATGATATTGTTTTTGTGTTCTTGGAGGGTGGCTGGTTTGTTGACGTAGACTTTGCTTTTCAAATATCCCCATAAAAAGAAGTCCAAGGGAGTCAAATCGCACGATCTTGATGGCGATGGCACATTTCCTCTGCGCGAAATCACGCGATCACCGAAGAAGGACTGCAATCGATGGATATTGACGTTGGTTGTGTGGCATGTTGCACCGTCTTGTTGGAAATAAACATCGTCCATATCCATTCCTTCGATCGCTGACGGTAACGGCGTCCCCGGCCGCATTTTCAAAAAAGTAAGGTCCGATGATGCCTTTTGACCACAATGCACACCACACAGTCACTTTTTGAGGATGCATCGGCTGCTCTTGATACTCACGGGGATTTTCGTTCGCCCAGATGCGGCAGTTTTGCTTGTTTACCGTCCCATTCAAAGTGAAATGCGCTTCGTCGCTGAACATGATTTTTGATGAAAAATTGGCATCAATTTGGCGGTGTTCAAGGAGCCAATCTGAGAACGTTCGGCGCGAAAAATGGTCGGCCCGACGCAGCTCTTGCGTCAATTGGATCTTGTAGGCGTGTACATTCAAATCCTTGTGGAGAATGCGGAGCAAACTGGTTTTCGAAATGCCCAATTCTTGGGATCGACGCGATGTTGATTGTTTCGGATCGTCTCTCACACTCTCCTTCACAACAGCAATATTTTCCGGTGTGCGAACGCTTCTTGGCCGGCCAGATTTGCCACAGAACCTGTTGCCTCGAATTTACGCACCAGACGACCGATGGTTGTTTCGTTTGGGCGGTTGTTGCGACCGAAATGTTCACGAAGCGCGCGAAACGTATTTTTTATTTTTCCACCATTTTTGTAGTGCTCTTGAATAACTTTAATGCGGTCTTCAATCGAATACGACTCCATAGCGATCAATGGTAAACATTCAACTAACAAAATGACATGTCGGTGACAGAAAACAAAGATGGCGTCTATGTCAAATTGACGTTTACTTTCCTGCGTCCCTATTGGACAACCCTTTATATTTCGCTGTAAGAAAGTAGCCGTAATTACTATATTCAAATTTTGATGTTGATATTTGTATTCGAAAATTGTCTTGCATGGTTTAGCTGGTTCTGTAAATCTTATATCAATTTTATCAGTGTATCTCTTGTAGCTACTTAATCGTTAATAAAGTCAGTTTCGTCAAATTTTTTTTTTCTAAAATGGATACTGAAACATTTTGCTGACCTGCAATCTTTTTATTAAAGATAAATAATATGTGGGGGTTGAGGTTTCATTCTCAACGGCGACCTTCTCCAAGCTCAATTGACATTTATTGACAATATACAGGGTGTCCGCAAAGTTGGGGTTTTCCTTTACACGACGTGTAGATCTTGAAAACATAAGCTATTTTTCTTAGTACCATATACACCAATGTCTTAAGGGAACCGAGATAAAGGGCTCTGCAACATCAAAAATATCTGAATACCGTCCTGTAGCCGCGACCCGTCGGGATATCCCAGACTGGTACAAGGTCTCAACCCGACGGCAGAACTGGATCGGGGTCAGTGTGTAAGGTTAGTATGCAACCTTCAACCGACGGTTACAGTCACGCGTGTAGAGGTAAACGAACTCGTATAATCGATTGCGTTTCAAAAAACAACAAGCACTAGAGACGTGGCTAGAGAAGTGCAAGTATCAAAAACTAAAGTGTGGCAAACGTTGCGTGAAGAGGGGCCGTATCCGTTTCACGTCCAACGTGTACAAGCCCTTCAACCTGACGATTTTCCAGCAAGAGTGCGGTTTTGTGAGTGGTTGTTGCATCAACATGACAATAATCCGGACTTTTTGAAGTGCATATTGGTGACAGACGAATCTACGTTCACGCGTAATGGGGTGAATAACTTTCGCAACACTCATGTCTGGTCAGTAGAAAATCCGCACGCTGTCCGTCGGGTACATTTTCAACAAACATTTTCGGTGAATGTTTTGGCTGGCATGGTTGGACCATTTATTCTCCCAAATCGATTGGACGGGATGCAATACCTAGACTTTTTACGCAACATTTTGCCTTCCTTGTTAGAAGATGTGCCATTAAGTGTAAGACAATCAATGTGGTTTTTGCGTCTGCTCGGTAGCGCTTCAGCTGATTTCGACGTACTTAGCCGTTCTCGTCAACTGCAGAGTGAGTACTTTTTCCTTTATTTTTTTTACTTGGTCGCCCTCGTTTCACTACACATTACCTTTGTTATTTCAAGGGTAGTTGTTTCTGAAAAGGCAAACCCCAACTTTGCGGACACCCTGTATTTTACTTATCTGTATTTTAGGTGACACTTGACTTTTTCCTTTGATTTAAAATTTATTGACAATATGTTTTACTAATCTGTCTGTCAAGTTATAAACTTATTTTTTGCGAATCAGACTGAAAATCAGTTATATCTGTAAAGGTTTGAATTTTGGTAAATCAGCTTTTTAAGCTTGTTAAATGCATAAAAATTGGCAAGAACTTTATATGCTTTTTTATAGCATTTTTGGGTTAAGCCTTTTATTAAGACAACTATTATTTCACTATCGTTATGCTTAGGTTTACTTCCAGATCCTTGCAACCACGACTGTTACTTTACTTAGAATACGGCATTTTGTTTATATTTTAGGTTTTTGATTTTTCGAAACTACAATGGAAACCATTTTATGATTTTTTGTTATATATTATTCACAGGGGTTTATTTCTTACGTTGTATTGCATTATTGCTACCATTGTTGGAAAACATATTATTTTTATCTTGTTAAGACTTGTCAAGACTTGCTGAGCTGCTCAAATGTTTCAAGGAAAGGTGGCAACTACTTTTTTATGACTAATTGCTGTTTGGAGTTATAAATAAAAGTCAATCAACACTTTGAGTCCAAGAATTATTTCTCGTGATAATTCACAAACTGATACGCCGTTTTATATATGATAGACACTAACTACTACTGATACCATCGACTGGAGATTATGTTCCATTTCTTGAACAATAAATCTTTCATTCCTTTAATTCAACTGTGTTTTTAGGTGCAGCGATATCAAAGCTGTGGAAGATGTAGAAATAGCAGTTAGCAATCAAGCTTATGTAAAAAGCAATAATAATGATGAAAACCCTACAACTATTGAAAATGAAGAAAATAATTATGAAGGTGAAAGTACTGAATGTAGGAAATCAAACGTTAAAAACGAAGTAGATAAACTACTATGTGAAACAAGTAATGTGATTGAAGAGTCTGAAATATCAGTAACAAATATCGAATGTACCGATCAAAATGAAAAATGCAAAGCATTAAACAAAACAGTATTTACGGATAATGGAACTGAAGACCAAAAGCCTAATGAGATAAATATTGATAAGGAAACGTCAACTAAGAATGATTTGAAAGAATCTGAATTAATCAACGAGACTGAAAAAAGAGATGAACTAGATAGGAGATTAGAAGTATTTGAGGTATCTGTATCGAGCGTTAAAGAAACAAATCAATTTGAGCAATCTACAACGCAATATGAAATATTACACAAAGATAAAAAAAGCAATTTGCAACGATCTGAGGAAGCAAGATCTGAAAAAGGACAAGTAATCATATCTAATAAAGATGAAACTAGCGAACAAAATGAAAAAGTTATTGAAGACAATAGATGTGAAGCCGATAAAGATAAAAAAGTAGATGAGTCTGGTAAGTTGGATATGTCTACGGTAATATCAAGTAATACGAAGACAAGTCAACTTGAGAAGGCTCCAGTCACAATACTATGTGAAGTTAAAGAAATCGAGACAAGTTCCGAAAAAGAAACAAACGCGCTGACATTGAATAAAGATGAAAGAAGGGAAACTAACGATTCTACTAAGGCTATTAGTAAAGATAGTAAATATGACGTTCCTATTCTTTTTTCAACAAGTGAGGATACGTTCAGCAGCAACGATCTGCGATTCAAATGTGGTCTTTGCAGTGACGCGTTTTCTGACGACCTTTCTTTAAAAGCTCACTGCATGATATGGCACGAAAATCTCACGTTTTGCTTTCTCTGTGAAACAGAGGTCGACACTGAATCCGCTCTACTCCAGCACTATCGTACTGAACATCATGAAATCCTCAACGAATCTAAAGCGTGGCGGTGCAAAAATTGTGAAATTTCATTTCCTTCTGAAGTGAATATGCTTAAGCACCTGAAAAAGAAGCATAGAGACGAAAACAATTTCTGTACAATATGCTTAAGACATTTTCGTAAAACAGAGAAAGTTATAACGCATCTCAAATCGTTGCATGTCGGAGTCGTCATAGAAGTATCTTGCTCGTATTGTAGAATGATATTCGAGGAAGTACCGCAACTAGTTTTGCATTATCTGGATCACCACAGGGAAGAAATAAGAAATCAGTGCGTTTTTAAGGAACGACTGGGAAAGGATGTCAGAAATGATCCTGTGAAATCGTCAGCGGAAAACGTTGGTCTGCAAGAGATACATTTATCTAATCGTGTGAAGGAACGTCACGATGATTATGAGGATGGTTCCTTTACAGTGCATGAAGCGACTTCAGAAGAATACTCTTGCAGGTACGTTGTTTACTTACTTTAGTTTCGCTTTTCGATTTTTCAAACCTCTTTCATCACTGTGCAAACTTGGCATGCCGACTGGGAGGGGCTCAGAGACTTCTTCTCTAACTTTCCTTGGAAAGGTGTCTGTTTCGCTGACGCGGATGCGTCGGCTGTCTGTTCTTCGATAACCGAAATTATCCACGTCGGAATGGAGGAATACATCCCTCACACAGTGAAAGTGCCTAAACGGCTGGTTTAACAAATCGTGTGACACTGCTCGACGGCCTCACTACCCAAAAATCGACCAAACAACATTGGATGATGGCCGCGAAAGCCTTTCGCATTTCACCCTTTCATTACTAATTGTTAACATATCACACGACGTCCATGGTGGAGATCAGAGATGGCACTATAGCGTCGTTATAACATTCCTTGATAGGTGGCGTTTACAGCGAGTGCACGTGGCGACTATAATAATATACTAAGTGACATATAAATCCGAACACCCAGTTTATTTTAATAAAAGTTGGTGAATGTATTTATCTTACTGTAAATAACAAGTGAAAAAATGTTCAGCCTTATCAGTTGGACATTCCGGTTTTTATACTGCTTTTTTTTTAATTCACTAACGCTCTAAAAATGAATATTTCAGCCGCAGTAAAGAATCAACGTTGGCGGATTTTGCTTCTTGACATCCTTTACGATCGGTTACGATGCCTAGAGTACTGAGACCTGTACGATTTCGTCAACTTAGTGAGTTTGATAGGGGCCGTATAGTGGGACTTCGGGAAGCTGGACTTTCTTTTCGGGCAATTGCAGTTAGAGTGCAAAGAAGTGTAGACACTGTAGTTAGGTGTTGTCAGGCATGGCTTCGAGAAGGCCGTACGCAAAGAGCAAGGGGCACTGGACGCCGTCGTAGAACAACAGACCGTGAAGATCGCCGCCTAAGATTATTGGCCTAAAGGGACCGTTTCTCCACTACCAGGTGCATTGTAAATGAATGGTTTGCAGAACAGGGAAGACCTATTGGCATGCGAAGTGTTTACCGACGAATGAGAAGTTTTGGCTTGTTTTCATACCGGCCACACTGGGTCCTCCCTTTAACTCGAGAACACCGACGTAATCGCCTTGAGTGGTGCAGAAAACGGTCATTCTGGGATCAGGAATGGAACAGTATTGTCTTTAGTGACGAGTCTCGATTTTGTTTAGGCATGCGCGATGGTCGTGCCAGGGTTAGAAGGCGACGTGGTGAAAGGAGGAATCCACAGTTTTTTGTTGAAAGACATGTTCATCACACTGTTGGAGTTATGGTTTGGGGTGCTATAGCTTATGGTTCCAGGTCACTTTTAATCTTCATCAGAGGTAACATGAACGCGCAGAGTTATATCCACGAAGTTCTAGAACCCCATCTTTTACCCTATCTTGACACCCTGGCAGATAAAACTTTCCAACAAGATAATGCCCGACCACATGTTGCAAGAGTCACAATAGACTTCTTTCAACATAATGATGTCACATTGTTACCATGGCCACCAAGATCTCCTGACTTATCCCCAATTGAGCACGTGTGGGATATGATGGGTAGGAGATTGCTCAATTTGCAACGTCCTCCTCAGACTCTAGAAGCACTTCGAGAGGAGTTGGTGGTTGCCTGGAATGAGATACCACAGGAGGACATTGACCACCTGATCAGAAGCATGCCTAGGCGCGCTGGAGAATGCGTAGCACATCAGAGTGCATCCACACATTATTAAAGGTCAAAGGGCTTTAAAGCAGTGCAATCATTTTGAAATTTTTATCATTCACTTATTATGCTTCATTAAGTACTTATACAAAATTTTATTAAAATAAAACCATTTAAACTGGGTGTTCGGATTTATATGTCACTTAGTATATACTGAGTGGCCTAAAAAGGGAAACACTTACGTATGTTTAAACGATTTCAATAATTTTTGGCGTACATGTTCAGTGTCTCTTATTAGTAACGGTTACGACGATGTTCAGCTGTGAGAGGTAGCACCCAATGTGAGCGATAAGAGAAGTCCAAAGAATTCTTGACTTCTAAAAAACACGTAGGTGTTTTCCTTTTGGTCACTCAGTCTAATTATCTGATATCGAGATTTGAATTTCCAACCACTTTGGTTTGACATAATGCTTATTTATTCCAGGTACTGTCAGCAAGCGATATCTGCAAAAAACTTGAAAAATCACGTGTTGCAGTGCAGACCGCATCGTGAAACACTGCGTTGTAATCATTGTTCAGACCCTTTCTTTACCAAAGAGGAGCTCGACTTACATGAGAATACCAATCATAGTGATCTACTTGAAAACAAATTGCACAACTCGTCGAAAGTTACTGATAGTGTGCTTTGTCCAATTTGTAAAACTAAATTCAAATCAGAAAAAAGTATGATCGATCATTCGTATATTAAACATCCTGCAGTCAAACTGGATGATTCGTTTGGCGTGCCGTTACAATCACTTGTCAAAGTTGACGATAACGACGGAACTTATCAGTGCATTTTTTGTATAAAATGGTTTTGCAGCTTATCAGCTATCGTGTATCATATCATTCGGAGACACGAAGAGCGAAAAGAAAAAATGTCTGATTGTGTAACTTTGGGATTGTTCGATGAAGACGGCGTTTCCCGACAAATGTCAAAGATCAATCTCAGTACAAGGAATACAGAATCTCAATCTGACGAATCAAATAAATGTAATGTTAGAGAAGCAGATAGCAGCGAGGTAATCGTTGACGAATCAAGATCTGATTGTTCTGGCAGAGGGCATCTCAAACGTAAGAAAAAGGTGAAGAAGAAGACAAAGGTCAAAGAAACTTCTCAACCAGCCTGTTTGTGTCCTATATGCGAAAAAGATCTTCAATCAGAAAAAAATTTGAAAATGCACGCTTATGCCAAACATCCCGCTATAAAACTACAAGACGGTACTGCAGTCCCTTTAGAGAGCATCGTTAAAGATGAATCACATCTAAACCATTATGAATGTCCCATCTGCGGATATCGCCTTGATAGATTCATGTCCATTATTAAAAAACATTTCGAGAAGAAGCACAAAGACGCGATATCTGACTGCGTATCGTTGGGAGTGTCTCAAAGTTCCGGAGATGCACGCTGTGATATAACCGATGAAGATGGAACATCATCGAGATCCGACAAAGCTGAGGAAGTGGATACAGTTGGTATACAGCAGCTAGAAGATTCAGATGGGGATGCCAATCATCATAAAGGGATCGAAGATAACGTTTGTCCAATTTGCAGAAAAAAATGCTCCTCAGAAGAAGTGCTTCTCCAGCATGCTTCAATCAAACATCCTGCAATCGTCCTCGGCAATGACCCTCCAGCTTCTCTGGAAGCAGTTCTAAGAATGCTATGCAAAGAAGAAAAAGTGTGCCATAAATGCCCGTTCACTGATTGCATATTCAGTTCCCTTCACTTGTATCATCTGATGAATCACATCCTAAAAACGCATAAAGACAAGGTTTACCTGTCTGACTGTGTATCTATGGAATTGTTCGATAAACGTTCTAGTTCTTTGCAAGGTGAAGATTCACCTTCGCAAGCGGTGTGTCCGGTCGCGTTTTGCCCGATTTGTAAAACGTTCTTCAAACGACAGAAAGCGCTGGTAGAACACGCCACAATGAAACATCCGGCGATAAAAATGAGAAACGGCTCGCCACTTCCGCTGCGATCAGTTCTTAGAGTCCAGCGGGAAGGAAAGAACTATTATCAGTGTCCTTTTTGCTGTCAAGGTTATGTCAAAGTAGAGCTTATAACGTACCACATTCTGAAGGATCATCAAGACAGGGCGGGTCAAATTTCTGATTGCGTGTCTTTGGAATTATTCGACGAAGGCTATGGAAATCTTCCTCTGAACTTAACTGATGAGCATGATAGGAAATTGGAAGAATCTGCTTCGAGCCATACAGATGACGGACCATCTTTCTATAACTCTCGTTGGACCAGTAACAGCTCAGAAATCAGCGATATTTCATCGTCTTTACTGGAAACTAGCGTAGCTTCCCCTGATACGTCCAAAAGTAGTTTTCCCCTACAGCAGATCTGCCCTGCAACATGTTGCACGTCATGCGTCGGCACGTGTTGCAGGAACGTGTTGCAGTGGAAGCAGTCTGAAACGTCTGAGGTCCAAAGCGCGCCAAATGCTATCACTCATCATGAATGTCCTTTATGTAAAAGAACGTTTAAATCTGAAGAATCGCTGACCGAACATACTAGATTTAAACACCCGGCAATAAAATTGGAAAACGCACCTCCACTTCCTTTAGAGTCCGCCCTTAAAACTAAGTATTTGGGGAGCAGGACTTATTACGAGTGCCCTTTTTGTATTCATAATAGTACCAATATAAGCAGTGCTGCGTCACACATTCTGACGAAACACAAAGAACGGTCTTATCAAATGTCCAACTGTGTATCCTTGAAATTGTTTCACGACGCAACTGAAAAGTCAGCTCCCACGATATTGTGTCCCATATGCAAAGGTAACTTTAAATCAGAAGGAGCTTTGAAGTATCACGCTAAAATCAAACATCCTGCAATAAGACTGAAAGCGAATCTCGTCGTACCGTTGGAGATGTGCCTCAAGACTCAAAGTGAAGATTCTAGGATTATCCAGTGTTGTTACTGTACTGACTGGTTTTCTGGGCTGTCAGCTGTCACGATTCACATTATCGAGAGACACGACGAAGATTACAGAAATGAGATTTCAGATTGCATTACTGCCGGGTTGTACGACATAGAATCTTAATGCTCTTTTGCGGAATATTAGTTCTACAATCGACCGAGAAAGTACGTGTTGTCTATCACAGCCTGGCATTCCGAGGACCGATCGCAAACGGTTTTGCAGCTCTAGAGCGATAAAGTGGCACAAGCGCTGGCTACTGACTGATTGCCGGATGTCATCGCAATGCGTGTGCAAAGATTCTTATCAACTTTACAGCTACAATGTAATGTAAATACGGCAAATAACTGCGGTTTTGTAGTTGCTTTCGAACTTATTTCTCGAGCGGTAAAGCAGTATTTTGCGCTCTTGATAGATAAGTAACTATATTGTGCATATTTATTTCATTTATTGAATGGACAACCGAGCATGATTAATTATGTACCCAATGACAAAGAAAATAGAAGACGCAATAAAAATTTTTTTATTCTAATGAAATTGCTTACACAGTTAGACATAAGTAATTACTTATTTTTATCTGAATTGTAGTTCGAAGATAATAGAAACATAAAAAGGACATAGATCCTAGTAAATGAACACTTTTGATCCATCAAAAATTCTATAATAAATGAAAATTTGAATCTAGATAGGCAGGAACTGATTTTTTTGATAGATTTTTGATTTGTTTTTGCTAAAATTAAGAAAAAGCTGAATTGTAATGTGAATATGTTGAAATTAGCTACCAAAAATTTGTTTGCGAAAAAAATTATTCCAGAGTAAATTTTTTGTTTGAGGTTAAGTGCTATTTTAGGCCATACATCTTTTCAAAATGATCATAGCCAAAACCTCTTGTGGATTTTTATTTCCATTTGCTGTAGAATAATTCTACTGGAGAACAGAAACACGTACTTCCTGGAAAACAAAATATAGCACAACAAAGTTTTACTTTCTTTAGTTATTATTTTCATGACATTATTTAACCATATAATGGAGGGAAGTGAATGAAAAACCTCAATAAAACAACATGAAAAATACTAAAACCCAACTTTTTCCAATCTTTCAAACAATTGCAAATCATCTTTTCCAACAAGATAATGGTCGTCCACTGAACATGTGAAGGATATGATGGGAAGAAAAATGGCCCCTTTATCTCATTAGATTTTCCAAGTGCAACTTAATTGATATGATACCTCAAGCAGACAGAAATTCACCACATCATCATTTCATTTATTTTATCCTCCATTCGACATTAAAAACAATGTGTGGGATTCGTCAGTCATTCCAAAAAATACAAACATACAAATACAGGGTGTCCGCAAAGTTGGGGTTTTCCTTTTCAGAAACAACTACCCTTGAAATAACAAAGGTAATGTGTAGTGAAACGAGGGCGATCGAGTAAAAAAAAAATTAGGAAAAAAGTACACACTCTCCAGTTGACGAGAAGGGCTAAGTACGTCTCTGCCCGAAATCATACCGCTCCAACAGAAAATGAAATCAGCTGATGCGCTACCGAGCAGATGCCGGCGGTGGTGCAGACCACGAACAGGGGTAACAAATATGACCATCGTGCAGAAACCGCATTGATTGTCTTACACTTAATGGCACATCTTCTAACAAGGGAGGCAAAATGTTGCGTAAAAAAAGTCTAGGTATTGCATCCCGTCCAATCGATTTGGGAGAATAAATGGTCCAATGAGCATACCGTTCACCATGCCAGCCCAAAGATTCACCGAAAATGTTTGTTGAAAATGTGCCCGACGGACAGCGTGCGGATTTTCTACTGACCAAACATGAGTGTTGCGAAAGTTATTCACCCCATTACGCGTGAACGTAGATTCGTCTGTTACCAATATGCACTTCAAAAAGTCCGGATTATTGTCATGTTGATGCAACAACCACTCACAAAACCGCACTCTTGCTGGAAAATCGTCAGGTTGAAGGGCTTGTACACGTTGGACGTGAAACGGATACAGCCCCTCTTCACGCAGCGTGTGCCACACTTTAGTTTTTGATACTTGCACTTCTCTAGCCACGTCTCTAGTGCTTGTTGTTTTTTGAAACGCAATCGATTATATGCGTTCGTTTACCTCTACACGCGTGACCGTAACCGTCGGTTGAAGGTTGCATACTAACCTGACACACTGACCCTGACCCCCAACCCAGTTCTGTCGTCGGGTTGAGCTAGTGTCCTAGTACCAGTTGGGGATGTCGCGAGTCGCGCCTACAGGACGGTATTCAGATATTTTTGATATTGCAGAGCCCTTTATCTAGACATTGGTGTATATGGTATTAAGAAAAATTGCTTATGTTTTCAAGATCTACACGTCGTGTAAAGGAAAACCCCAACTTTGCGGACACCCTGTATATTGAAAATATAAAAAAACAAAGTTCACGTTGACAGATTTAAAAACTAACAAGATTAAAAAACAAGCATTTATATTCAAATAAATCGACAGAAAATACAGCTTGCCGATATTCCTTAAAATTTCATGTTCTTTATCTGATATTTTAAGTAAGGCATCGTAGGGCAAGATAGATCAAGGGTTTTGATGTACAGTGAGAAAATTACCGGTCCCAGTACAGACCCCTGTGGAACGCCTACGTTAACACTTGTCCTATCGCCTGTTTAACCTTGGAGTCTCTGGTATAGGTAATGGACACATATCTCACACAGCAAAATTTAATAACTAATTTCCCTGGCTTATATCTAACTGTATACAGAATTTCATACAAATAAAATCAGTTGCACTGGATGTTTTCTTTGTCACAGCATATTTTCTCATTTCGGACGTATCTCATCTAAAGACTGTTAATAAATTTTCATTAAGGCATATATGCTATATTAAGGATATTATTAGTGTTGATAAAGCATAATGTTTTCTGTTTGTTTCGTACAAGGATAATCCCAAAAGTAAGGTCACCTATTTTTTAAAAGTACAAAACCTTTATTTCCAATAATTGATATTTATTTGTAAAGCTTAAACATTTTTCTATATAATTTAAATTGAGGAAGCATAATGTCAGATGTCCCTTTTTTCTGGAGGAGTATTCTTAATACTTTTCGTCTGATCGTTTCATGACGTGTATAGAGATTACTGAAAAAAATACATTTTCTGTGCGTAACTTGTTAACAAGTAATAGTACAGCTCTGAAATTGTATGTCAATATTTCACTTTTTTGGGAAAATATCTTTATCTTCCGTTGCAAACCCAATCTGCTGCAAAACGGGGTTTGAAGAAAATCAAGGTTTTTCCAAAGAGGAAAAAGTAATTCTACTATAAAAGTTGAATTTTAACATACGATTGAAGAAAAAATGCACAATAATGCATTTTACATTACTCTGCACTTCCTATGTAACACCATTATATCACTTCATAAAGGTTTTAAATCCTCTGAGAAAAAAATAGAGTTAGAAATTAAACGTATCAAGTCAGTCAAAATTAGTCCATGGACATCTTTCATCAAAACTGACTCGCCTCGGACATGTGTTATTCATCGGGTAGGTTTAAAAAAACAGGACGCCGTACCTTTGGAATTACCCGGATATACTTGTGATTATACGAATATATGATAAGACTTAGACCAAAAAATCATTGAAACATGTTTCCTGAATATTTTTCCAGTTTTGTACAGCTTTTCTATAATTCTATATGTGTAAGCTTTAGTTCGTAGCCTGGTAATTTTGAGCTTGTTGTAAGTATAAGGAAGGTATTGTTGATTTTTAGTAAAAGTATTTTATCAAAAATGTGTTTTACTGATCTTATGCCTTGGTTTGTTATGCGTTGTTATTTTCTGGTGTTATCTAATAAATATTTCCTATCCTTTTTGACTATTAGAATCAATCACAATCCCGCATAAGAACAATCCGCTTTACTTTTATAAAGAATAAATCTAATATACAAATTTTTAGGTACAATTATTCCGACGCTGATAAAAGTACTACAAACAACAGAGTTGCTATGAAAAATCTGAACACATCAATATCTGGGAAGGCGAATGTAACCATTGCCATTACAAGTTTTCCGATGAACTGTCTTTAAAAGACCTTGGAATCTGTTCGTTTTGTGAGATCAAGCTTGATTCCGAAGAGGCCTTGTTGCGACACTATCGCACCGCACATTGCCACATGATTACTAAATCAAAGGTGTGGAAGTGCAACCAATGTGTCGATTCTTACACCACTGAGGAAGAGGTGCAGATACATCTGAAGACAATACAAATTAAATACGTGCGGATCGTGGGTGATTGATTGCACTAAGGAATTATCACTCGCGTTCCTATTTCTCTTATAATCGCCAAAGGATGTTAGAGAAATACTTCAGTAACTTGAGACGTTCTCGAATCGACAGCTTCGTCAGTCTCATGAGAATACCAACCATTCAGAAGAAAAGAATCAAGAGACAACAGACACTGAACAAGTAACTGAGTCAATCTGTGCTTCAAACGCTACAATTTCTAGTGATACAGTGAAGCATAGATTCTGTCTTGAGACGTTCTCGAATCGACAGCTTCGTCAGTCACATGAGAATACCAGCCATTCAGAAGAAAAGAATCAAGAGACAACAGACACTGAACAAGTAACTTGGTCAAGCTGTGCTTCAAACGCTACAATTTCTAGTGATACAGTGACGTGTAGATTCTGTCTTGATACGTTCTCGAATCGACAGTTTCGTCAGTCTCATGAGAATACCAACCATTCAGAAGAAAAGAATCAAGAGACAACAGACACTAAACAAGTAACTGAGTCAGGCTGTGCTTCAAACGCTACAATTTCTAGTGATACAGTGAAGCATAGATTCTGTCTTGAGACGTTCTCGAATCGACAGCTTAGTCAGTCACATGAGAATACCAGCCATTCAGAAGAAAAGAATCAAGAGACAACAGACACTGAACAAGTAACTTGGTCAAGCTGTGCTTCAGACGCTACAATTTCTAGTGATACAGTGAAGTATAGATTCTGTCTTGAGACGTTCTCGAATCGACAGCTTCGTCAGTCACATGAGAATACCAACCATTACAAGAAAAGAATCAAGAGACAACAGACACTAAACAAGTAACTGGGTCAAGCTGTGCTTCAAACGCTACAATTTATAGTGATACAGTGAAGTGTAGATTCTGTCTTGAGACGTTCCCGAATCGACAGCTTCGTCAGTCACACGAGAATACCAACCATTCAGAAGAGAAGAATCAAGAGACAACTGACACTAAACAAGTAACTGGGTCAAGCTGTGCTTCAAACGCTACAATTTATAGTGATACAGTGAAGTGTAGATTCTGTCTTGAGACGTTCTCGAATCGACAGCTTCGTCAGTCTCATGAGAATACCAACCATTCAGAAGAAAAGAATCAAGAGACAACAGACACCGAACAAGTAACTGGGTCAAGCTGTGCTTCAAACGCTACAATTTCTAATGATACAGTGAAGTATAGATTCTGTCTTGAGACGTTCTCGAATCGACAGCTTCGTCAGTCTCATGATAATACCAACCATTTAGAAGGAAAGTATAAAGAGATAACAGACACTGAACAAGTAACTGGGTCAAGCTGTGCTTCAAACGCTACAATTTCTAGTGATACAGTGAAGTGTAGATTCTGTCTTGAGACGTTCTCGAATCGACAGCTTCGTCAGTCTCATGAGAATACCAACCATTTAGAAGGAAAGAATCAAGAGACAACAGACACTGAACAAGTAACTGGGTCAAGCTGTGCTTCAAACGCTACAATTTCTAGTGATACAGTGAAGTGTAGATTCTATCTTGAGACGTTCTCGAATCGACAGCTTCGTCAGTCACACGAGAATACCAACCATTCAGAAGAAAAAAATCAAGAGACAACAGACACTGAACAAGTAACTGGGTCAAGCTGTGCTTCAAACGCTACAATTTCTAGTGATACAGTGCAGTATAGATTCTGTCTTGAGACGTTCTCGAATCGACAGCATCGTCAGTCACATGAGAATACCAACCATTCAGAAGAAAATAATCAAGAGACAACAGACACTGAACAAGTAACTGAGTCAAGCTGTACTTCAAACGCTACAATTTCTAGTGATACAGTGAAGTGTAGATTCTGTCTTGAGACATTCTCGAATTGACAGCTTCGTCAGTCACATGAGAATACCAACCATTACAAGAAAAGAATCAAGAGACAACATACACTGAACAAGTAACTGGGTCAAGCTGTGCTTCAAACGCTACAATTTCTAGTGATACAACAGTAAAGTGTAGATTCTGTCTTGGGACGTTCTCGAATCGACAGCTTCGTCAGTCTCATGAAAATACCAACCATTCAGAAGAAAAGAATCAAGAGACCGTCAACGTGGAACGTTATTGCGGCATGTTAACAGACTTTTTGTGGCCACAATTGGATCGAATTGGTGCCGATGATCTTTGGTTTCATCAAGGCGGAGCAACGGCTCACACATCTCGCCAAACAATCGTCTTATTGCACGCGAAATTTCAAGACCGCATAATTTCACGAAATTCAGATGTCAGTTCGCCCCCGAGATCGTGCGATTTAACTCCTCTATTTTCTTTGGGGATTTTTGAAAGGAAAAGTGTATGCGAATGGTCCCTGGACAATTAAAGACCTAAAGCGCAATATTCGAACTGAAATTGCGGCCATAGACCCAATTATTCTGGGAAAAGTCATTGAAAATTTTCATGTTCGGTTGTTGGCCTGTAAACGAAGCTGCGGTGGTCACATGACTGATGTTATTTTTCATAGATAAATCAATAAAAAAATTCGATTTCACCTCGTAGAAAGCGTGTCGATTTTTCAACTAGAAAAAAAAGTAATAGATGACGCACCCTGCTGTCTTAAAAGCTGATGAAAATACTCCAGATTGAACGGATTTGTTAATTATATAAGCAAGTCGTTCTGTTATTTGTGTGGCCAGCATCTTCAGATGTTCAGTTCTGATTTCGTCAACTCCAGCGCTTTTTTTATTTCCTAGAGTAATAATGGCATACAAAACATCCGGGCACTCTACGACAGATAATACAAATGAATTATCCACTCTTATTTATTGCAGCTGAACGTCAGCATTTTGTTTGATATTATTTGGCAAGTTGTCTCCTATATTTGAGAAAAATTCTTTGAACTCGTCACATATTTGCTGAATATTGTCTGTTTTCTGTCATGTTTTTGCTTTTATTTCATTAATATTGTTTTTTAAATCCTGAACTTCAAGATTAGAACGTAATAACTCTCCCCTGAAGATGATAACATAGCGAAAAACGTGTTGAGTTAAAAAAGCCGGCCTTGTTTGTGATGATCTGATGGTTTGTACCCGACAAGCTCGAGACACAGAAGAAACGAACTCTACTGATTGACCCTGTATTTTTTATTGTTAATAAAACTGTTCATTATTGTTACATACCCAAATTCCTGAATCAGGTAGCTTCGCTCTTTAAACTTTTACTAACATATGATTTTTTAGGTCTAATGCTCTCAACATTGGAGCTAGGAAAAATAATGTGAACTCTGAAACCGTGGCAGCAGTAGAGGAAGAAATTGATACCAATGATTTGAGATCAAGCTTCACAGGAAATGTTGAAACAGTAATTATAGAAGACGAAATTGAAATCATCGCAATGGAACAATCTAGAGAAGCAGACGTCAAGAATAGAAAAAGTATATGCACAATAAACAATAAAGTCCTAGCACCAAATAAGTCAATGCTAAATGACATAAGTCAGAATAAGGAACCTGAAACACTAAATAAAGCACTAGCTAAAATGGAAAAAACGATTGAGGTGGATGTCGAATCTGAAGGAACTAAAATAAAACAACCAAGAAAGAAAACAACGATAAATGAGGACCTTGAAGTATCAAATAAAGCACTAAATCTTAGTAAGTCATCCGGTGTCAAAGGACTTAACGAGACAAACTTCGCAGGCACAGAAGCACATGATACAACAGATGAAATCAAACTCACTGAAGTGTTATCAAGTAAAATCGTGGTATCTAAAGATGAAACATTTCATGCGAAAAAAGAAGGAACCAAGCTAGTCGAAGAAGGTGTAACAAGTCAGATGGCACAAGATGTGCATATAGACGCTGAGGTTCAGGAAAGTCAGAATAACGAAGAGCCCAATTTTGAGAAAAATAAAACCCCTGAAGATCGAGGACTTTCCAGGGCAAGTGGCAAAGCAGACAAAGATGAAATTAGTGCGAGCATCTTAACCTGTAAAACTTGCACAAAAACTTTTTCCAGCGAAGATTCGCTGAAATGTCACGCAAACGCAACGCATGCACAATACAATTGCACCCACTGCCAGTACATGTTCTTCGATGAACATTCCCTTCAAGAACATTTCTCACAGAAACACAAAGATATTTGGACGTGCGCACTTTGCAAAACTAATGTCGACTGTGAAGACGACTTGTTGCTGCATTATCGCAACTCACATGCTCACATCGTCAATGAGTCCAAAGTTTGGAACTGTAAGAAATGCAATGGATTCATTACCAATGAGAAAGAAATCGAGAAGCATTTGATGAGCAAGCATGCGTTCAAGGATAACACCTGTCCAATATGCGATAAAGGGTTTTTAGAAGAAAATTTGGTGATGGATCACTTTAAAGAAATTCATATTGCGACCATAACCAAACCATCTTGCGCAGTTTGCAAATTGATATGTGCCAATGAAAGTCATTTGGTGCTTCACTATCTGGAGAAGCATAAAGACAGAGATCAGCTTGAGTCCAAGGGAGTTGTAGGGAAAGCTCCAGAAATAATGGCACAGTCAGATCCATCATCATTAGAGGTTGTTCGTCTGATACAAGCCAAATACGAGGCTGAACTGACACCTTCTAACAAAAACAAAAAGTTTGAGTGCTTTATATGCTTGATGAAGCTCAAACGAGACGTGGCGCTAGTTGCTCATTTGAGAGAAAGTCACAATTTGGAAGTTCTACCTCCAAAAGGAGAGGACAAGAGGTGGTTCCTTTGCCCCAAATGTGACAATAAATACGACACAAAAGAATTGGCGCAGCAGCATGTCAGAAAAGAACATGCTGATAATTTCAGATGTATGTCATGTTTGTCGTACTTTGCTTACCAAGAACATTTAAAGAAACATGAAGAAAGTAGATGCACATTTTTTCATCGTGATGGGATTTCAGAAGAATACTCTTGCAGGTATGTATTAGTTGTCTCATAAGAGGTTGTCTCAACACCAAGCAAACGAATCGAGGCACAGAAATAAAATAGAATAAGTTTTGTTTCTATACTAAGTGACATATAAATCCGAACACCCAGTTTAAATGGTTTTATTTTGAAAAAATTTTGTATAAGTACTTGATGAAGCATAATAAGTAAATGATAAAAATTTCAAAATGATTGCACTGCTTTAAAGCCCTTTGACCTTTAATAATGTGTGGATGCACCCTGATGTGCTACGCATTCTCTAACGCGCCTAGGCATGCTTCTGATCAGGTGGTCAATGTCCTCCTGTGGTATCTCATTCCAGGCAACCACCAACTCCTCTCGAAGTGCTTCTAGAGTCTGAGGAGGACGTTGCAAATTGAGCAATCTCCTACCCATCATATCCCACACGTGCTCAATTGGGGATAAGTCAGGAGATCTTGGTGGCCAAATCTATTGTGACTCTTGCAACATGTGGTCGGGCATTATCTTGTTGGAAAGTTGGATCTGCCAGGGTGTCAAGATAGGGTAAAAGATGGGGTTCTAGAACTTCGTGGATATAACGCTGCGCGTTCATGTTACCTCTGATGAAGATTAAAGGTGACCTGGAACCATAAGCTGTAGCACCCCAAACCATAACTCCAACCGTGTGATGAACATGTCTTTCAACAAAAAACTGTGGATTCCTGCTTTCACCACGTCGCCTTCTAACCCTGGCATGACCATCGTGCATGCCTAAACAAAATCGAGACTCGTCACTAAAGACAATACTGTTCCATTCCTGATCCCAGAGTCTGCACCACTCAAGGCGATTACGTCGGTGTTCTCGAGTTAAAGGGAGGACCCAGTGTGGCCGGTATGAAAACAAGCCAAAACTTCTCATTCGTCGGTAAACACTTCGCATGCCAATAGGTCTTCCGTGTTCTGCAAACCATTCATTTGCAATGGACCTGGTAGTGGAGAAAGGGTCCCTTAAGGCCAATAATCTTAGGCGGCGATCTTCACGGTCTGTTGTTCTACGGCGGCGTCCAGTGCTCCTTGCTCTTTGCGTACGGCCTTCTCGAAGCCATGCCTGACAACATCTAACCACAGTGTCTACACTTCTTTGCACTCTAACTGCAAATGCCCGAAAAGAAAGTCCAGCTTCCCGAAGTCCCACTATACGGCCCCTATCAAACTCACTAAGTTGACGAAATCGTACAGGTCTCCGTACTCTAGGCTACGTAACCGATCGTAAAGGATATCAAGAACCAAAATCCGCCAACGTTGATTCTTTACTGCGGCTGAAATATTCATTTTTAGAGCGTTAGTGAATTACAAAAAAGCAGTATAAAAACCGGAATGTCCAACTGATAAAGCTGAAAATTTTTTCACTTGTTATTTACAGTAAGATAAATACATTTACCAACTTTTATTAAAATAAAACCGTTTAAACTGGGTGTTCGGATTTATATGTCACTTAGTATATAATAATGTGCGACATGAAAATCTCTAAGTGAAGCATTACCTTTCGCCGTATCATCAGCATATAAAGAAATGGAGAAATTTGGCCATTTTAAAGTTAAATCATTTACAAAAAATATATATAAAACGTAGGACCCAAAATACTACCTTGGGGAACTCCGTACATGATTTCTTTGGATTCAGAACGACTGAATGTCATTTCAATGTCAATACGATTTTTTAAATGGAATCCTAAACTTTTGACCTCGGAAACGGGTAGGAAGGGAGATTGTATGTTTAGATATGACCTTGGATGAACATTATTTTGACCATTAACGTTCCTATCCAAGGTCTAAAAATAAAATATTGCGCTCTATCCGTTTCCGGTGTGCACGTATAGGGTGACATGCAAAAAATTGTGTAGCCCTTGATTTAATCATCAAAGCCGTGCTCAAGGTCAAATCCAAAGCCAACAGTACGGAAAATGTATGACCCCGAAATGATGACTTTTACGGTGTCCTTGACAAGGACTTCCAAAGTTAAAATAATTTGGACCCAAGGTTTTCGTTCTATTTCTGGTGTCTTTGAAGAAAATTGAATTGACATTGATTTGACCGTCAATGTCATAGTATCATAATTAAATAATTTGTTTGACCTTGACTTGGCTTCCAAGGTTCTGATCCAGATCAAATTCATGATCACCACCGAATATCCCTAATGTTATACTTTCACTTTGAATCAGCCTGCCTCAATTACAGCTACACAACTCTGCCTAACATTTAAGCTGAATTCTTGGGCGAATTCATATGACGTTAAAAGCTCCAAATATGTTGCGAAAAGCTGTCACAGTTTCACGTTTCCTTATATAAGAAGACGAATGCACTTTGTCGTATTGCGCGTCGGATGAATTCAAAATCTGATGCACTGTTGGTTGAGACAGTCTCTTGTAAGTTTACAAGCAACGTTTGCATTCAAAATATTGTTTTGCTTCAGGTATTGCGAGCGAATAATGCCTCAGAAACGACTGACTGCCCATTTGACGAGATGCTTGCTTAACGGAAGGCGGTGCACGTATTGTTTAGACTTTTTCGATAACGAGAACGACCTTGATACTCACATGAACATCAGGCATCCAGACCAAATGAAAAAGCTGCAGCGGAGGAACGAGAGAAACGCTAAGCGTGTGTTTCCCTGTCCTATGTGCAAAAAGAAATTCACGTCACAAGAAGCTGTGATCACCCATGCTCAACCAAAACATCCAGCAATACAACTGGGTGATGGTCCTTTCGTACCGTTGGAGTCGGTAGTCACAACCGAGTATAACTATTTCAAATGTCTCTTTTGTTCACATTCCAGACCAAAAATATCGTCTATCGTCGTCCACATCACGAAGGCTCACAAAAACGATGCTTACAAGCTGTCGGATTGTGTGACCTTGAAATTGTATAATCAAGAGTCTGGAGATTCTCCAAATAAGTCGAGCAGCGGATCAGGAAAAAATATCGGTGCTTCAAGCAACTCACCTTCCAAGAGTCTGGTTATTGACAATGGAACTCCACCTAGACCAAGCGTAGCTGCTGCAGATAGTCTTAGCTTGAAAGGGGCTCAGAGTATAGAGGAAGATCTGTCCAGACATCCTGAACAAGAGAATGAGATTTGGGATGATGAGACGCAAGAAGCATTACAAGCGGTCTCTGAATCTGTCCTATGCCCAATGTGCAAGAAAGACTGTGAATCAAAAAAAGATATGTTGTACCATGCTAGAAGACATCATCCTGCTATAAGACTAGGAAATTGCTCGCCAGTTCCGCTAAAGTCTCTCCTAGTAACTGAGTACGTGAATGAGAAGCTCCATCTCAGATGTCCGTTCTGTCCAGAATTTTTAAGATTGTTACCAGATGTTGTGGATCACATCAGGAAGGAACATAGGTATCAAGCAAACCAAATGTCCAACTGTGTGACTCTGGGATTGTACGATCCAGAAGCCGAAGTTTCCTTACATGAAGACGATAACAGGTTTCAAGACTGTTCAAGTCCTGGACCAAGCAGTAGTTTCCAAGGACCTAGTTTGAGCAGTGATTCTGGTGAATGGTGCGGATTCTGTTTCAAATCTTTCGAAAACCAAGAACTTCGACGGTCTCATGAGAATATGAAGCACCCAGAGCAAATGCTGCAGCTTAAGAGGAAGGTAATTCCGTCTGCGGAAATACCTTGTCCGATATGCAAAAAGGCTTATAAAACAAAGGAAGGCATATTTCAACACGCTAAATCCAATCACCCTGCTATACAATTGGGGAATGATCCCCCCGTTCCATTGGAGTCGGTCCTTTTAACAGTATATAAAAACGAGAAGGCACTTCTTAAGTGTCCTTTTTGTATAAAATGCTTCAAGGTCATGTCACTTGTTACTCAACACATCAACCGATCTCATAAAGACAAAGGCCCAATGTCCGATTGTATTACCTTGGGACTGTACGAAAAAGTACCTGGAGATGTAGATGACTTTTTTGCTGCAGAACCAGAGTCTGGTCCCACTCTGTGTCCAATATGCAAGAGAGCATTCAAATCAAACCAGACACTCAAGATTCATGCCTTAGACAAACATCCAGCGGTTAAACTACGAAGTGGTTCTGCAGTTCCTTTAGAATCATCCATTACAACTAAGTCTGAAGCAGGAAAAATTTATTACGAATGCCCCTTTTGTATTCTTAAGTATCCAAAAAAAGACGTTGTCAAGGGGCACATCCTCAAGCAACATGAGGATCAGGTATTCGATTGTGTATCGTTGGGGCTGTATGAAGAACAATCCGAGGAAGACTATCGTGTGACTACATGCCCTATATGCGGTATGAACTTCAACTCAGAAGCACGTTTGATAGACCATGCCAAAACAATACACCCTGCAATACGTCTGGAAGATGGCTCAGTACTTCCATTAGAGGAAGCCATCGATGTTGAGTATATAGACAGGAAGATTTTTTACCATTGTCCTTTTTGTAACCATAGATCACGTTCTCGTAGATTGAGGGATATTACGACACACATTTACTCCGCACACAGGGATCGCAAACATCAGATGCTTGATTGTGTTTCTATAGGAATGTTTGACGAAGACCATGAAATGGCTTCTCATCACTCAGTAAGAAATGTATCTGATGAGGATACTGCTCGCGATCCCACGTTTATAAGTTACCAACAGGATTTCGGTCATGAGATCTCATCAGATATAAGTAATCAAGCCTCTGGAAAGGAGTACGATGATATTGAGGCACCAAGAAGTACGTCCAACTTGAGGGCAGGAGTCTTAACAAGTGTCAGAGGCAGCGGTATATCAAGATCGGGGTCACCAGATGTAAGACGTTACCAAAAGTACTATGATCTCGGGGAACCAATAAATAGAGAATACAGAAGTGACAAAGTCTTGACAAATTTCAGAGGTGTATCCAGATTACCAGATATGAGAGAGCAAAACTTTGGAGCCGAGAGGCATTACTATGGTTTTGAGGAATCGAGATATAGGGACGTCAGGTATGAGGAAGTCTTGGCAAATGTCCCGGGTCGCAGTACATCGAGATCTAGGTCACCAGATGCAAGTGAGCAACATTTTGGAGCCGAAAGACATTACGGAGAGTACTATGGTCCTGATGCAACCAGAATTGGAGACAATAGATGTAAAAAATTCTTGGCAAGTGTCAGAGGTCGAAGCGTATCGAGACCAAGGTCATCGGACACGGCTGGTGAAACTTTTGGAGTGGGAAGAAGCTATAAAGAGAATCACTTGAGGTATACAAAAATAGGAATTAGAGGAGATGAACCCGACTTCAATCAGTTCGAGACTGAAGATGTGGCGAGTAACTGGTTTAGTAGACCTGGACCGAGCACGGAGGTCTTTGATATGGCGAGAGACTACAAACAAGATGAGCGTAGGTTCTGCGATGAACGTAGATATTTCGATAGTGAGGAAGCCAGGATCAAGACTTTTAATGATGGAAGAGAAAGAAGCCTTCCCCAATTAATGGCTTCTAGAGTATCAAGTGCAGATAGAGAGGAAATGTTTAAATGTCACGTTTGTGGAAGCGTTTACCTGTCTTACCCTGCGTTTGACATGCATATGAAGATTAATCATAAAAGGGAATATGTAGCAACTGGTGATGCTGCAATAAGAGATCAAAGACATCCCAGAAAAAACAGAAAGTGGCATGGTAAACGCTAGTCGTCACGAAGCTTCGTAATGTAGATTTGATTTCTTTATAAAAATATAAATGGTTTTTTGGGATTGATCCAGTACATCATTTGTTTTTTTTTTGGTATATTTGGCACAACATTTCGCTAAATTTTGATGATTTATGTTTTGTTCTTCTTTTAAATAAATCTTTTATAGCAGCAAATTATGTATCATGTGAGATTGTTAGATTGTAGATTACATTTAATGGAGATCAGAGAATTGACCATCTATTATTTTCCTTCATAACTAAGGAAAAAAGTGTTGTTAATGTTACTTTTTGAGATGTTGTCTGTCACATGTTTAACTACGAAGGCTGTTACATACTCGGTTCATACGTGGTTAAGGAATATGTTATTTTGTTTTGGTTAGTGTTAGAGTTAAGTTTAAGTTTTTGTAGGTATAGCAAGATTGAAATTGTTATTCGCTAATAAAATCATTGCCAAAAGCGTCATGTTTTTGTATTTTTCACTTGTTCATATGGGCATTTTTTAACATACATGTAAGAGATACGAAGCCAAAGTTGCAAATTTAGGAAATTAACAAATTTAATTTTTTCCTCACTTTGTTTATAGTGGGATTTTAAAACAAATTGCACGTTCACTTAATTTTTTTATTATGGACGCCATATTGGATTTTTGCACAGATGATAGATAGTTTTTAATTTTGATTCCAAAAATGTATAATACATTGCCAAGCCCTGTTATTGAAAAAATACAGAATCTCCTAGGTAGGCCTTGAAATTATCAGATAGTCATTTGTTTCTCTATCTGATGATTTCAATGCCTACCCAGGAACTTCGGTTTTTCTGGAATAGCCAAGGTTTGGCAATATCAATGTATGTCATATTGTACATTTTTGAAATCAGAATTAAGAACTCTATTCATTTGCGCAAAAATCCAATATGACATCCATAAGAAAAAATAAATTTGATGCTTGAGGACAAGAGACGATACGTCATATTGAAATTGTGATTATGTCATCTTGTAGAGTGGCAATGTTTATGCGCAATTACTTTTCAAATCCCACTACAAATAAATTCAATTTCGAAAAAAAAATCGTTTTTTCGCTCAGACGTCGATTTTGTTTTCGAGTGGGGCACAAGTTTGGCAAAAAATCACGTTAACACGTGCAGCCCCCTGGGCGGGGGTGACACCAACCCTAAAATCTTGAATGGAAAGGGGGGTCGCATCATTAAATATTTCTGCTGTTTTATTAGCGCACTGATTATTTCCGAAAAATATTTCGATAATTTCAACTCTTTCTGCTGTGGAATATACCATGGTTAATTTATGTAATAAAGTGTTACAAGTTATTTTAGCAACAAAGTTTGGTCAAATCAATCGCAAACTTTCTACTAAATTCCTATTTAGATATTTCCTTATCTTTCTTCAAGAAATAACTTTTTTGCCACAAAAAAAAAAATGCTCCAATAGCTATTTTCAACAACAAAATGTTAAACCAACCATGTGTAGTGAAGAAAAGCACTTATTAAGTAAATTCTTTTAGTCAAATTTCTTCTGAAAGTAGTACAAACTAATCTGATGTACCTATTAAGGTCTACTTTAAGCTTTAAATCAATAAATCTTCAAAAGTACTGAACTGAAGCTCATGTATTTTACATCATTATAAAGGGAATTGAAATACCTTTAAAATAAGGTATCACTCGACCCCCCTTTGCATTTAAGATTTTAGGGTGGGTGTCACCCCCGCCCGGGGGGCTGCACGTGTTAACGTGATTTTTTGCCAAACTTGTGTCCCCCTCGAAAACAAAATAGACGGGTCTGAGCGTTTTTCCAAAAAAAAAAACTGAGCTGCCAGTAAATGCGTCTGTCATAATTTTCACCAATTTCCAGAAGTTTGATTTATTTGAAATCATCATCATCATCAATCATTTGTTAACAGTTTTCCATTATCCGTATTAGGACCGCCATGATTGATAAATGGCAGATACTTCATTCTGGGTACTGTTACAGTAACCACAAATTTAATTGGAACCTTAAAGAGGTTTGTTACTGATAATTATATTTTTAGATGCAGCAGTAAAACAAATCTCGTAACAACCAAAAAGACCAAAGGATCTGAAAAACAGACACCCATTGACAGCGAAGTGAATGAGATGCAGATATCAAAGGCAACAAGCAAAAATAGCATTGAGAAGGCACCAGAATTGTCAAACCAGCCTGAGATAGCTGAAAAACAAGAAGAAATGACTGTGTTCCAAGAGGAGCTAACTGTAGACCCAGAGATGATCGAAAACGCTCTGAAACTTGGCAAATGCCTTCTGTGTGTATTCAAATACGATTCCTTGGCGCCTTTGCTGACACATTACCGCTCCACGCATTCTTATATCTTCAGTGTCAAAACGAAGATATACATGTGCAAGAAATGCTATCACTACATGAACACCGACGAAGACGTGCAGAAACATTTAGAAACGATGCACAAACTCAAAGGCGCCACCTGCCCAATTTGCTACAAAGGATGTTCAAGTGCAAATGAAGTTGTCGAACATTTCAAGAGCTCGCATGTTGCTGATAAAACGAAACCACAGTGCTCGGTGTGTAACACAGTGTATACAAACGATAAAGAACTCGTAACGCATTACCTTGTCGAGCATAAGTTTGCGAGCAGTTTCAGAGAGCTGCTGGACGAAGCTGTCCGCGACGACTCCGAGACGTACACGCCTGAGATGTCCAAGCCTGACGATCCGAACAAAAAGTTCAAGTGTCACTTTTGCTCGGAGAGGTTCAAAAAAGATTATTCGTTAACCTCTCATATAGCAGCAAAGCACAAAGTGACGGTTGGATCAACAGGAGAACAGTCAAGCAAGCCTGAGACCGCCGCGCTTGGCAAATCAAAAAAAAGCTATGCGTGTCACGTTTGCTCGGAAAAGTTCAAAAGGGATTTTTCGTTAGCTGCTCATCTAAAAGATAAGCACCACGTGACTGTTGGACAAATGGAACAAGAAGTGAAGTACTTCGTTTGCATTTATTGTCCGCAAACGTTTCTAGAGCTCACGACGGCACTGGAGCATATGAGAAAAGATCATGAGACAACATTCAAATGTACGAAATGTAACTCGTACTTTCGGAAACCACTACAATTGAGCAGGCACAATGAGAGCAATTGTACACTATTCTTTGATCCATCAGTTCCAGTACAGTACGTTTGCAGGTATGTACTTAATCTTACATTCTATCGATTCAATTCCGACCCCCTGATAAACGATAATTGAACTCAATACTGCATATTTCTAATACAGATGATCATAGGGATTGGGACTGAAAGTAGACGCTTGGGCAATACGTCAATTACTGGTAGAAAACCTAAAAAAGGAACTTTGGCCGAAGAGAGAAGCACAATTGTGTTTAATTTGCTTTTAAACAAATTTGCACTAGGTTGCCGTCTCAATTTATGTTAAGAAACATCCCACAAACGTTAATATGAAAAAATCAAGTTGCAAGGTTTCTTCCATGAATACACAAGATTTTCCTTTTGTCTAACAGCACACTTAATAATAATAATATATACTAAGTGACATATAAATCCGAACACCCAGTTTAAATGGTTTTATTTTAATAAAATTTTGTATAAGTACTTAATGAAGCATAATAAGTAAATGATAAAAATTTCAAAATGATTGCACTGCTTTAAAGCGCTTTGACCATTAATAATGTGTGGATGCACCCTGATGTGCTACACATTCTCCAACGCGCCTAGGCATGCTTCTGATCAGGTGGTCAATGTCCTCCTGTGGTATCTCATTCCAGGTAACCACCAACTCCTCTTGAAGTGCTTCTAGAGTCTGAGGAGGACGTTGCAAATTGAGCAATCTCCTACCCATCATATCCCACACGTGCTCAATTGGGGATAAGTCGGGAGATCTTGGTGGCCATGGTAACAATGTGACATCATTATGTTGAAAGAAGTCTATTGTGACTCTTGCAACATGTGGTCGGGCATTATCTTGTTGGAAAGTTGGATCTGCCAGGGTGTCAAGATAGGGTAAAAGATGGGGCTCTAGAACTTCGTGGATATAACGCTGCGCGTTCATGTTACCTCTATAATGAAGATTAAAGGTGACCTGGAACCATAAGCTATAGCACCCCAAACCATAACTCCAACAGTGTGATGAACATGTCTTTCAACAAAAAACTGTGGATTCCTCCTTTCACCACGTCGCCTTCTAACCCTGGCACGACCATCGTGCATGCCTAAACAAAATCGAGACTCGACACTAAAGACAATACTGTTCCATTCCTGATCCCAGAGTGACCGTTGTCTGCACCACTCAAGGCGATTACGTCGGTGTTCTCGAGTTAAAGGGAGGATCCAATGTGGTCGGTATGAAAACAAGCCAAAACTTCTCAATCGTCGGTAAACACTTCGCATGCCAATAGGTCTTCCGTATTCTGCAAACCATTCATTTGCAATGGACCTGGTAGTGGAGAAACGGTCCCTTAAGGCCAATAATCTTAGGCGGCGATCTTCACGGTCTGTTGTTCTACGGCGGCGTCCAGTGCCCCTTGCTCTTTGCGTACGGCCTTCTCGTAGCCATGCCTGACAACACCTAACCACAGTGTCTACACTTCTTTGCACTCTAACTGCAATTGCCCGAAAAGAAAGTCCAGCTTCCCGAAGTCCCACTATACGGCCCCTATCAAACTCACTAAGTTGACGAAATCGTACAGGTGTCCGTACTCTAGGCATCGTAACCGATCGTAAAGGATGTCAAGAACCAAAATCCGCCAACGTTGATTCTTTACTGCGGCTGAAATATTCATTTTTAGAGCGTTAGTGAATTAAAAAAAAGCAGTATAAAAACCGGAATGTCCAACTGATAAGGCTGAACATTTTTTCACTTTTTATTTACAGTAAGATAAATACATTCACCAACTTTTATTAAAATAAAACCATTTAAACTGGGTGTTCGGATTTATATGTCACTTAGTATATTTATTGCCCAACAGATACATCCATTTAAAGGACAATATAATTGAATACAATTTGACGTTACAGTATTTTTAACTACAATCATAGCTCGCCCAGTTTCTGCAAAAAAATGAAAGAAAAAAATGAGTAGCTACACCTATTCACCTACATGTCTTAAATGTTATAAATTGAATAATAGTACTCGCTGAATACAGCTAATATATCAGCTATGGTGCTAAAGCTGGAGCACATAAAGTACACGGGTCATAACATTTGAATTTGGAAAATCAATTTTAGTTAATAAAGCTGAAGAATCAACATCACTGTGTACGAGTTTGTAAAGGAATTTTAAACTATTACAAACGCTTCTCAGCTCAAGAGGATGCATTTCAAATCTGAACAACATCGATGATTGGGGAGTCCCACGATTGGGATAAACACCATCTAATTTGAAAGTCAAGTATTTCAGAAATCTCCTATGTACACTTGATGCATATTTCAGCTTAGAACGCACCAAGGTGCAGTATAAAGCCTTCAATGCCGTTTCACTACCCAACGATTTACAGTTTCTTATCAAAAAACCGAGACTTTTTATAGCGGATGATAGTATTGTACTAATATGACCTGTAAATTCTAATTTAACATCAAACAACACACCTAAACTGAATCCAAATTCAAGATGAGATGTAAATAATAACAGTTAGCGCGTGACCTCTCGGTAACAGGTGGGGACAACGCCTCTTATTGGTCAATTCGCCATTAAATTTCAAGCGGTCGCCTGGCGGAATAATGCGCGGGGCAGGGGCAGGGCAGGCAGAGTTGCACTCAGGACACCGTCCGTCGCGTGTATCACTGCGTGCTCCTGTTTTCGTATTCACCTTGCTTGGTTGTTGCTGTTGTTGTTGTTAAGTGTATTTGAGTAATTTGTTAAGTTTCTGTTTCTGTTAAATACTGTCATCTTTGTTTTACAACACGTTGGTGGTAGTCCATCATTCGGAGGTAGCCCTGAATGCGGCCCTGTACGCCGTCCTTGCTTTTGGCAATCACGCATCCATTCTATCTTGGGTGTAAATACACTATAGATCTCTTACTTCTGAACAATGCAAAAACTATTGTATTCGTTTTCCTGGTACAAGAACAGGTTTTGCATTTACTAACATTCAAAAATAATTTATTAGTTGAACACCATTCAAATATATGATTCAGGTCAACTTGCAAGATTAGACAGTCCATCAACGCTGTTAATCTGAGCATATATTTTACACTTACGACCTTCTTATTTCCGATTATTTCTTGATCGTTGACAATTAATCTTATTACCATTAATTTGATGTTTCATTTCAGATTTTGTAATGTTTCTATGCCCAAGAAAGAACTGATGAGCCACCTGGTGCAGTGCGAAATATCTCATATCGATGTGTTACGTTGCAAGTTTTGTTTGGACACTTTCCAAACTGAATCTCTTCGGCTCCAACATCTGGAAACACGACATCCGAAGACAGAACCGAAACCCAAACAGTTTACCTGTCCAGAATGCCCTAAAAAATTCTACTCGGAAGCGGCGATACTCAATCATGCTGATACCAAGCACGTCATGATTAAACTGGGAAATAAACCGCTTCTTCCTGCACACCAAGTCTTGCAGACTTTTTATCTGAAAAAAACAAACAAGCATTCGTATAAGTGTCCCTTCTGTGTACACAAATTCTTTGGAATACCACTGGTTATTGCACATTTGAAGAGAAAACATCCTCGCGAACCGTTTGAAGTAACTAATAGAGTGAGATTAGCCAAAGTAACTTCAAGCACTCCTCATGTTCCATTTGCTTCTAGTAGTTTTGACTACGACTCAAATCAACGCTTATCTCGCGCAACTCCAAACTCGAACATGAACGAGGAACTTTATGCATCGACCGAAAAAATGTATAGAGATTATGAGGACGATGATGTCGATCACGAATCAGAAATGGCAAGAGATACTGATTCACCGTATTATTCTACTGCCCCAAGAGAAGGAGTGCCAATACGTGATATGCCTGGCGTAAATCAAGAGATGTTTGGTCGCCAGGCAAGGGAACATACAGTCTATGAATCAAGAAAAGAAGATTTTAGAGGTGAGCAGGCATCGGGATCAAGAACATCTGGTGTAACAGAAAGAGGATTTGGTTCCAAAAGATCTACATCCACGTCTTACGATTCGTGTCCAGCGAGCAGCAGACTTATGGACAGTAGTCGTAAAAGGAATTACAGAGGAGTAGTAATTCAATCTAGAGGGCTAGGCGATGAAGACAGATTTAGGTCAGATAGAGATAGCAGAGAAAGTGAGGCTTTGCTCCATGAATCGTATGAATCAAGAAGGGCCAATGATGCTTTCAGGGAGTTGAATAGTGGAGAAGAGGTTCCAGCTTCCTACAGAAGCTCAGGTCTACAAGAACATGTTTCGCATGGTGGATATGAAGCTAAACTCGGACCTGCTTCCAACTATCACGAGACATATAGAGCGTCCAGAGCAAATATTCCCAGCAGTACATCTACTAGAAGCATGCTTCACGATATAGAAGAAATGTTTACTTGCGAAGTTTGTGGCGACAGCTTCACGTCGTATGCAGCACTAAATATGCATGTGGAAATCAATCACGTGTACGACTTTGAATCGTTGGACTGTTTTTAATGGTTTATCAATTTGCTTTATTTTTTTTTATGTCAGGTCATTGTTAGGCTTGAGAGTCTGACATAAAAAGTAGTATAAGTATAGTATAAGTAGATAAATAAATGAAATACACCGATCGAACCCTGTACGTGTTCTCAAAAATTTTTTCAAGAATCTCCCGAATACCGCTACTCGATATCTCTTTCCATTCTGAAAATATCGAGATTTGAATTTGGGTAAAATTTTACTTGCTGCATGGCAGCTGTCAATCAGTTTAGATAGACTTCATTGACAGCATATTCGGTAATAATTTGATCACATACCAAACATAACTGATTTTATACACATAATGACATTGATGACGCTTACAGCGATCAAAGTGAGCAAACGAGGGATGAACTATTTGACCCTAAAAACTACCTAGTCTGCAAGATGGTTTTGTCGGTTTTTTTGATGTTTAACACGCTTTCTTAGCTTTCCAGAAGTTTTGCCATTATCCTTATTATAACCGCCAGGATTGATAAATTATTTTATAGATTCTCTGTAGGGAGTAAGAGAGATAGAGCTAGCGCGCGATCTGCGCATGCGGACTTACTCTTTGTTGATTCGGGCACTCGGCACGGCACAACAGAGGCAGATACTTTTTCAAGGTAGAGCATTCTCACCTTGTCCATTCCTTATACGTGCGTAGGTACTAATGAGTCTAACACGCGGATTACTGTTTATAATATTCATATAATCATATTATTAAATTATAATCGTGATTCACAAAAGGCTTTTTATTCATAACAAACCCACCATATTCCCGCGACATTTCGCCCAGTGATTATCACCTTTTTTTGTCTCTTGACAACTGTATGAGGCACCGACAGTTTTACAATTCGCTATGCAGTCCGCCAATTTTTAGACTCCAATTCCAGGTAGTTATAAAGGGTTGTCCAATAGGGACGCAGGAAAGTAAACGTCAATTTGACATAGACGCCATCTTTGTTTTCTGTCACCGACATGTCATTTTGTTAGTTGCATGTTTACCATTGATCGCTATGGAGTCGTATTCGATTGAAGACCGCATTAAAGTTATTCAAGAGCACTACAAAAATGGTGCAAAAATGAAAAACACGTTTCGCGCGCTTCGTGAACATTTCGGTCGCAACAACCGCCCAAACGAAACAACCATCGGTCGTCTGGTGCGTAAATTCGAGGCAACAGGTTCTGTGGCAAATCTGCCAGGCTCTGGCCGGCCAAGGAGCGTTCGCACACCGGAATATAAACTGTTGTGAAGGAGAGTGTGAGAGACGATCCGAAACAATCAACAACGCGTCGATCCCAAGAATTGGGCATTTCGAGACCCAGCTTGCTCCGCATTCTCCACAAGGATTTGAATGTACACGCCTACAAGATCCAATTGACGCAAGAGCTGCGTCGGGCCGACCATTTTTCGCGCCGAACGTTCTCAGATTGGCTCCTTGAACACCGCCAAATTGATGCCAATTTTTTATCAAAAATCATGTTCAGCGACGAAGCGCATTTCACTTTGAATGGGATGGTAAACAAGCAAAACTGCCGCATCTGGGCGAACGAAAATCCCCGTGAGTATCAAGAGCAGCCGATGCATCCTCAAAAAGTGGTGTGCATTGTGGTCAAAAGGCATCATCGGACCTTACTTTTTCTGAGCGATATCACGTGATGATAGAGGACTGTTTTTTGCCGCAACTTGAAGGCATGGATATGGACGATGTTTATTTCCAACAAGACGGTGCAACATGCCACACAACCAACGTCAATATCCATCGATTGCAGTCCTTCTTCGGTGATCGCGTGATTTCGCGCAGAGGAAATGTGCCATGGCCACCAAGATCGTGCGATTTGACTCCCTTGGACTTATTTTTATGGGGATTTTTGAAAAGCAAAGTCAACGTCAACAAACCAGACACCCTCCAAGAACTCAAAAACAACATCATTGCCGAGATAAATGCCATAGAACCGACCATGTTGCAAAATGTCATTGAAAATTTCGACCATCGCGTGGACGTCTGTAAATCCAGTCATCAATCTTTCTTGTTTTAATATGCGTTTACTTTCCTGCATCCGTTTTGGACAACCCCATACAATACCGGCATACAAAAATTGGTTCCACGTTGGCAAAAGGTCATTGACTGTGATGGTAATTACTTCGACGAATAAATAGTGTCTTATTGTTTCTCAATAAAAATTTACATTTTTCTATTAAAAACCGCATGAACTTATTTGGTTATCTGATATTAATTCGACTATCAACTACTGCAGTATAAACTCTTTGAAATTTTCTACTTTTTAGTTCGGTTACTTTTTTAGTTTTTTTTAAACTATTATTTATTTGAGATTCTTACATATTGCCCTTTCCAGCCATTGTGCGTGATTGAGTAACAAACATCTGCACATTATCATGTATAATATTAGTAGCAATTTGATCTTCACCTCCAAAACGTTCTTTGATCGGCCAGTTTTAATTCTAGATTTATAAATACCCAAATATCTATATATCTAGGATTTCTGATAACATTGGCCGTGATTTGTGTTGTTTTCAATAATAATTTCAATTTTGATTTTAGGTTGACTAAACCTTCTAAGGTGAATCTACTTTGCAGCGTATGCAGTAAGGAATTCCCGAATGAGCAATGTTTACAGTTGCATAACTTTTTATCTCATGTAGCGAACGTATATAAGTGCGGTCTCTGCGACCGATCTTTCCGTTTTCGAGAAACCTTGCGGCTTCATAAGGAGAGCGTCCATGGAAACAACGAACATTTATACTGTCAACCGTGCAACAGGACCTTCACTTATTTGAAATGGTTGGACACGCACCATATCATTGACCACGATGGTTTTCGATACGTATGCAAACAATGCAACAGAGGGATGAAATCCCGTGACCATTTCATACAACATCAAACATGCCACGATGAAATCCGCAAAATGTTCCCTTGCGACAAGTGCGACGCCGTCCTTTCGACCAAGCATTCGTTGTGGAGCCACAATCGCCAGAAACACACGGATTTGGGCAAAAAAGTTTGCGATATATGCGGCAGATCTTTCATAAATATTCGGGCTCACAAAGCGCTTCATACAGGAGAAAAACCGTTCAAGTGCGACGTTTGCGGTGCGAGTTTTCCGAGAAAGGAAAATCTACAGAACCACCAAATGACCCATACGAAAGAAAAACAGTGCTTCTGCGAGATGTGCGGCAAGTCGTTCTCTACCCGCAAGAATCTGAAACGCCACACGGAAACGCACGTTCGCAAGAAAACAGAAACAAACAACGATAAAAGTCAAACAAAGAAATACGAGAAAGTAAAATGTGAACATTGCGAAAAGTTATTCAGCGCGTGTTCGTTGTACATGCATATACGGAAAATGCACGGACATAACCCGAAACCTCATCCTTGTACGGTCTGCGGTAAAAGGTTCTCGGCGCCTTCCCATGTGAAGGCACACATGAGACGGCATACCGGGGAAAGACCTCACAATTGTGAAAAATGTCGTAGAGACTTTTCTACCAGACAAAATTTGCAAAAGCACAAATGCAAGGGATCGCAGGATTCGCAACACAGCGTGTCTGTAAAAAAAGAGACAGACAGCACGTCTATCATAAACATCGACGATTCATAGTTAGACACTGCCGTTTATTCATGTTCTGTAAATTAGGTGATGCGATAGCGTTCAGCTGGTCGGTTACAGCCGTTTGAGTAATTTCGACTGTCCCAAAATGAGTTCCTTGAGGTGATTTTTCCACTTCGGGAAGAAAAAAGTCACAAGGACTCACGTCATTCGAATAAGGGGGCTAAGGAGCCATAGGAATTAAAATTTAAATGTCACAATAGATAAAATATGTTTACATACGTCAATGGTTAAAATGAGAAATGCATTAGAACTACAACGAAGAGAGTGCTAATGTTCACTAAGAACTACAAACATAAGTACACCAGCACTCCATGTTTTTATGCTCCTCCTCAATTCTTTCTCTTTTTTTCGCTCTTAATATTGACTTGGTATACCTTCTTTGGAATCTATATTCTCTAGGCGCTGAAGAAAGAAACTAAACCCAAACAAATACACGCATATTGCTCGTGAGTGAGTGTTTAGGCGCAGGAGACATTACAGGACCGCATCAAGATATTATGGGTAGTCATCAAAAATTTCATACAAGATAATTATTATCTTTTACAGTAAATTTCAGTTAGAGATTCACAAATGAGTTAACTACACTTTTTAGTTATTAGTAAGTAAGCTGCGCGCACTCATTCAGAAGAGGAGCTTGAATCTTCTGAATCGTTTAAATGAATTATTAGAGGTTCAATTTGGGTATCGATGACATTGTCCAAATCCCACATTTTGACCTCAACCTTCTCCCGAACGTGGCGGATACAGTTTTTCCATTCCTCTGCCGTAACTCTATTGACTGCGATGTGAAAGAGATTTTTAACATCAGAAAATTTATAAGTATTATTATTCGACGCCACGTATTGCTTTATGTTGGCCCAAATCTGCTCAATAGGGTTCAGCTCACAATGGTAGGGTGGCAGTCTCAAGACAGTTTTATTTTGTTTTTTGGCCATTTCGTCGATCATTTTAAAATCGTATTTGTATTTATGTCTATTGACTATACTTATCAATTCACCCTTGACACATTGTTTCATCAAAATCGATCTGTTTTGAGGCCAGCCATTGTTGTATGTTTGCTTTTTTAGTTGCCATTGTGGGAATTTTTTCTATTTTTCTAGAATGGTACGGGGCATTATCCAGTACAATAACAGCGTTATTCTCCAGCTTTAGTAACATTTTGGAGAACCAATTTTCAAAGGAATTGCCGTCCATCTCCTCATGATAGTCCCCTGTCTTTTTTGATTCAAAGGCCCACAGTGCTTCGGGAACAAAGCCGTCTTCACTACCTACGTGACAAATGATCAGCCGTTTGCCTTTTCCTGGAAATAAATTATTCCTTACACTATGGATTGATTAAATTTGAAGGAATGAGTCAATTGAGTTCATTTAGCTGAATTTAAGAGTCACGGAATGCTGATCAAAAACTGAAAAACGTAGAAAATTGAAGTTTGCAACTTCTCAAAACCCATTCAAAGCAAATTGACTGCACCCAAAAATGATAATAAATTTCAAAATAACGCTTAAAAGAGGGTCGAAGTTTTTTTCCTAATGACTACACTGCGAATGCACCATTTTTGGAGAATATCACACATTATCTGCTATCACAGCATATTATTTGCCCGAATTTATCAAAATTAAATTGCCGGATCGATGAAGGAGCTTACCTGCAGGATTTTTTAATCCAGCCGAAAGGCCGTCTAGAAAAGCCTGCCTTGATGATGTTACTGATTTGTCGACCCAAACTTTCGCTTGAGTATGTCCAGCATTCACCCACGTTTCGTCCAAATAGTAAATTTTTCTTTTTTCATCGCGAAACTTCCGAATCTTCCTAAGGTATTCCCTTCTCCACACAACAATTTCTTCTTTCTCTATTAACATACTGTTTCTTCCCCGTTTCAAGAATCGAAAATTAAGTTCCTTCAAAAGTTTTCGGAATGTGGTTCTTTTAAATGATGGAAGATCCTCATCAGCATTAACTAATCTTAATATCTTATCTACTGTAGGTATCTCATTTCGGAAGAAAAAATTATGCACTTTCCTCCTGATGGCAGTTCTGTCAAAGTCATCTACTCCGTCCGTTATCCTTTTTCTTGCAGGATACGGTTTTGGCTCAGAAAGTGAGTGAGTGCTC